TGTCTTCTGTGTGTCCTGTGTGTTCTGGGTGCTCTGTGTGCTCTGTGTGCTATGTGTCTGTGTCATCTGTAGTCCTAGTTGTCGTATGTTTGCTATGTCTTCTGAGTCTTTCAGTCCGTTCTTGATGAGTCCGAATAATGAGTCTTCCCGGATTGCTCCTCTTACTATGTGTCTTGGTCCTTTGTGTTCTGAGTCCATTGAATTCGATCCAATTTGTTCGTGTGTCGGTAGCAATTGTAGCCAGTTGCCTTTGTTAAGATTCGGGTCCTTGCTACTCCCTCTTCCCGGATGATAATCTCCTCGTCTCGTCAGAGCATCTGCTCCCCCATTTTTGCTCCCTGGTCGATAAGTGATCTCTATGTTGAAGTCTCCCAATATTTCCAACCATCTCATCTGCCTTCGATTTAGTTGTCGTTTGCTTTGGAAGTATTCTAGGTTCTTGTGATCGGTAATGACCTTTATAACATCACTACTGTTAGCCAAGTAGGGTCTCCAGGCGACCAAGCAATCCACGATGGCTAATAATTCTTTCTCTCCCACCGTGTAGTTTAGCTCACAGGGCGTCATTGCTCGAGACCAGTACGCTACTGGGTGAAGCTCGGTGGTTCCTTTTATTGATGGGTGAGGAAATCTCTGAGACGCTATCGCACCTATCGCGCAATCGGATCCATCGGTTTCAATCCAAGTCGGTCGGGTTCTATCAAAATGTCGAAGTACTGGTGCTGTGGTGAATGTTTTCTTTAGATCGTCAAAAGCCTTTTGGCATTCTTGTGTCCAGTTCCAAGCTTGATCCTTCCTAGTCAATCGTGTGAGAGGTCCCACAATATGCGAAAACCCCTTGATAAACCTCCGATAGAAATTCGCAAAACCCAAGAACACTTGAGTATCCCGGACTGTCATGGGTTCTCCCCATTCTAGAATAGCTTTCACCTTTTCTTGATCCATTTCGATCCGTTCGTGTCCTATTACGTACCCCAGGAACTTCACTTCATTTGAACTCCATTCGCATTTCCTCGGACTGACGACCAAATCGTTTTCAAGTAGTCGATCTAACACCTTTTGGACAATGATCTGATGGTTTTCGATCGTGTCGGAGTATACCGTGATGTCGTCGATATAAACTACTACCCCTTCGTCAAGTAGATCGTGAAACATGTCTTGTAGAAAGTTCTGAAAGGTGGCTGGTGCATTACACAACCCATCCCTTAGGACGGTGCTCTCGAAACTGCCGTATCTTGTTCGTAAGGCAGCTTTATGTTCATCTCCTTCCTTTATTCTGACTAACTGGTAAGCCCCTTTCAAATCGAGTTTAGTGAAGATCCTTCCTAATTGAAGTCGATCGAGTAGTGTCGAGATGAGTGGCATTGGGTATGAATCCTTGATGGTTACCTTGTTAAGTGCCCGGTAATCTGTAACTACTCGATAGGGAATGACTCCTTTCTTGGGGACCAGGAATACTGGGGACCCATAGGGCGATTTACTTCTTCGCAGATGTCCACTAGTCAGTCCATCATTGATCCACTGCTTCAGGAAAGCATCCCCATGCTCGTCCAGTTGGTAAATTGGTCCTGGTTTTAGTTCAGCCCCTGCTACTAATTCGATTTCGTGGTCACATTCTCTTCTTGGTGGTAGTCTTCTTGCTCTTTCTACCTTGAATAATTCGAGGTATTGGTGCCATTGTGTCGGTATGATTTGTCGCAGTTCCTCCTCACTCATTTCGTCCTCCCCTTTCTCCAGTGTTGCCCCTCTTATTAATCCTTCTTCTAATCTTGGGTATTTCCAACCAGTATCTCGTCCAATTCCGTCGAATTCGATCAGTCCCTTTCCACAATCGATCCTTGCCCTAAACTGTCTCAAGAAATCTAGTCCTACTAGTACTTCTGGTCCTTCGTATGCCATAACATCCAGTCGAGTTGCAATCCTGAGTCCTTTTCCTAGATCTAATTCTGCTTCTACATATTCGGTCACTAAGGTCGCGGTAGTTCCATCCAGGAACCTAATTTTTCGTGGTACCTGATATTGTTTCTTTGGGAATAGATGGTATAATGGACAGGCCGGCTGCACATACCTTCCTGTAGCCCCGGTATCGATTAACATTCCAATCTGTAGGGTATCTTTCTTTGTTTGTATTTTTATATATATTATGGCCGAGTCATTACTGAGATCTATTGGTATTTGAATTCTCTGCGATCCGGGCAGATCCTGGCCGCAAGTGGTCGCATCACTTAGGCCAGGTAGTCGTTTCCCTCTTCTTCAAAGGTCACCGCCATTCCTCGAACTAATGGCCCTTTGGACCCAGTTGGGATCGAGTTCGATCCACTAGGAATCGGTGAGCTATGCGGGTTTGGGGATCCCCTAATGTTGTTTCTCGTATTTCCTCCATTTGGACAGTTGTTGGCGTAATGTTCTGGACTTCTACATTTGAGACAACGTCGGTTCTCCCTCCTCCAAGTCATTTCGTTCTCGCTGAGACGTCCTCCGTCCTCTGTCCAGGTGACCGGAGGGTCATTTGGTAGACCATAATTCATCATCCCTGGTTTTCCACCGGGCAAGGGTCCTCTACCAGTCGATTGTGAGTAGCGTTCTACCGGGTTGGGCAAACTAGTATCCAATCGCATCGAATTCGATCGAGGGGGAAGCCAGGTCGTCTCATGTTTGCGTCTAGCAGCCCATCGATTCGCTGCAATCATCGTTTCAGCCATCCGTTGGTTCTCCTCAGTCCCTATCACATGCTGTTTGAAATAGATCCAGTCCGATTTGGTTCGAGGGTCGGTGTTATTTACCACTACCACCTTCAGTAGCTCTTCCTTCAGGCCCTGTATGGCTGAGGCGATTTTCATTGCATCTGGTACCTTTCCAAGGTGTGTGGACCAAAGTTCGAAGTTGGCAAAATACTCGGCGGCCGTATCAGTCTGTCTTAACTCTTGCAATTTCCTCATAGCCGTACCTGCCATGTTACTATCTCCAAATTGAGTTCGTAAATGCTGAATGAATTTGTCGTAGCTCTCTAGCCATTCGGTCGAATTCCATATACTTGGATTGGTTATGGCCGGGGTTATAAGCATTTGAGGGGTGCCTCGAAGATACCCGTACATGAACAGGATCTTTCTGCGATCGGTGGCGTACTCTGCCCCTTTGAATTCGAAGTTCATGTGACATGCTGCAAGGAAGTTGTCCAATTCTCCTCGTTCTCCACTGAAGGTAGGTGGATCCGCACACCTGGTTCTTCCTGTTCGTTCGTTGTTGGTAAGTTTTGGCTCCAAACACGGCTTGTTTTCTTCGACTTCGATCAAACTTGCCCCTTTCGATGTGAGTATCTGTTGGTTCTGTCGGTCAGCTTTCATCGTAGCCAGTTCTTCCCTTAATGTATTTTGTTCCTTTTGTTGCATCGTCATAATGGCTAACAATTGTGACAACTGCTGCGATAATTCATTTAGCGGATCTGGGGTAGTGGTAGTAGAAGTGAGATCATGTGAAATGGTACTTCTCGAAGAACTTGTTGGTATTTCTTCCTCTGGGACCAGCCCTTGTTCCAACTCCTCTTTTTCTGGTATCATTTTCCGCGCTTTCCCTCTGGTGAGCATACAGTACTCTCCGATTCGACCCAAGGTGCGTAAGGCTGATTCTTCAACTTGTAACGGTACTGGAAACACGACGACTAGGTCGCAGGTTGGGTCGAACTCGATGGAGGTCTCGTGGAAGTCTAGGGGCTCTGGTGCTTAATGGATCGTGTCTCCTCTGCAATCGATGTAGCCAAAGAATGATATTGAAGAATCAGCAAAGTTGGTACTTTGCTGATTGTACTATATACTGTCTACAGGTATCCGTCTCCTCTTCTCAGTCCTACTGCAAGCGTCCATGTACATACTCGGACAGGTGAAAAACCGCTTTGAGCAAACCCAGTGGGGAAAATCTCGAAAGGGGAAAACCCGTCCCTACCTACTGCAGCACTGCCTCCAACTCCCGCTTTCCTCTGTCCTAATCCGTCGAACTCGATAGAGTTCCCTCGATTCGTTGTTACCCCGTAACATATCCCAACAAATTCTCCACATGCTGACAGGCCCTTTCGAGATCGTAAAGAATGTCGAAGAAAGGTGCAGATGCACCTTGACCAGCGTTCGAGAGAGAGACAAGCAACCTTCGGAGGAAACGGATCTGTCGACAGGTCGCCTCCAAGGTACGGACCGAGATATCCGACAGTTCAGCTGGTCAGAGATAATTTTCATGATAAAGTGAATAATGAGCGTACCATGAGCCTCACCAGACCTCAGGAGAGGAACCAAGGGATCGATACCACCGGGAAGTGGCGAAGACATAATGAAATTGTTAATGAAAATAAAAGTTTCTCGGTGGGTAGCGGTTCTGCGAAATATCGTCAGCCAGGGACACGAAGCAATTTCATCGATTCTCGGGATCCTACTAGCAAACCTGAAGTTTTAAGAAGCAGACAGGATAAAGGGAAGTTCAGAGAGTCAGAAATGAGAGATAGAAGTGGAGAAAGACGAAAGATGGACATACCGATAATTGGAGATAAAAGTGATGAAGTAAAAGGAAAGATAGAGAAGAGTCAGTCGTCGGTACCGGTGAGTGGTAGCCACGTGTCAGAGCGGAGCCCCGCAGGGGGCCCCACAGAAATTCATTTCACGATTTCACCTACCACTACTACCACACACATAACACTCAATATTTCGTCATTACTACCTTCTACATCATCACAAACCCCGCCGTCGCCATCGATAAATCGTCCGGGACTACTGCAGAGTCGTGCATTGTCCCGTGGGGGAGTGTTAGCCGATAGAATCGGGCCAGGACGGCCGAACCGCCGTTAGAATTACCCCTTCCGTCGAATATTTCTCCGTTCAACTTATCCTCTGAACTTTATTCGATCGTCTCTGGTTTTATGCGTGTGAGTGGAATGTGATAAGTATAGAGACATGTAGAATTGATGCATGCTCTTTTTCCCCTCTGTATTATCATCTAATATCAGCAAACACAACACCATGATCTCCAAAAGTGGTAGATACAAAGGAGAAGTTTATTTCGACCCTTCGGTACGTTTACCGTCAGGGACTTATCCTGCATATCTTCTTTCAACATCTAAACACCCCTGCACGGTTGATGATGAGGAAAGAGAGAGAGATATAGGATCCAAAAGGAAGATAGAGGTGATTGAAGAGGATAACACGGACGAAATGAGTTACTACGAATTTTACGCAGGTGGAGATTTAGGCTCGGATAATTTATATTGGTATTCTAAGAAGAGACGTCGAACAACAGGTCAAGATCCTTCCGTGATCATCCGTGAGGGTCAACTGGTATGCCTTGAACCTCCAGAGGTATATCCCGAACATCTCTACCAAAGCGATATTTGAATTCTTGAATTCTCTGCTTGTGGGTTATACGGGCACCAACGACGAAGAAATCCCAGGAAGAGAAGTGTTGGAGAAGATCGTTTTCCAAATAACCCGATCCGATAATGTTGATTCTCACATGATCAGTAAAGCAGTAGGTAGTAGTGTCAGATGTTAATGTATATAAGCATAAGTAGAGTACAAGCACGAGTACGAGCACTTACTGAAAATCGTTTCTATATATGACGTCTTATCCTCTCCCTCTTTAAATCTATTACGAACTCTTTATTTTATCTTCCTTCTCGGATTTGACTTGGCCATGACACGCTCAATCAATAGTTTCCACTGCTCATTACCAAAGCCAGGACCGTATATTCTCCAAAACGATTACTTGTGATCTTTGACTCATCATGAACGATTTGGCCTTCAACCCTTTGTCGTATTTCTTCTCGGGCAAGTCGTTTACCAAACACCTACGTCAAGAATATGGACGGGTACTTCGTGCCTCATACCAGTGTGAAAAGGTTGCAAGAGATTATAATGTCTGAATTAGTGGAATGATCAGGAGAAGTTAGGAGTGGAATTATTCATACATGGTTAGAAAAGGTGATAGGATATGTGAGTTTGGTCAAAATCTTACACTCCCGTTCCCATCTCTCTATATCATAACTCATCTGTCCCTCGCCCCCCTTGACTCTATCATCACTTGCTCCGTTCAAAAGCTGGTAATAGTGATCTGAGAACCCTTCATCCATGTTCTATCTCGTCATCTATAATCTCATAAGTAATTTGGTATTTGGCATTCCTATAAATCAGTCCTCCACTGACATCTCCTTATGAACACACGTTGATCCAACTGAGATCGTCCCTCCATACTGATATCCGCCTGGATCATGGACTATGGATGATGAAAGCTGTGTGGGGATTTGAAATCCCGTTTCCATGTCCGACGTCAATGGTTGTGTAGATAAAAGGAGGATCGGAGTTTGCCACTTAAACTGAGTTGCTTGTAAAAAGCATTCTTTCGATATGTATTCGATCTACTTTTCTAATATCTACCAAGTTTATCAACATGCAATCAAGTCTTGATACTGAGAAAGACAAGGAAGCAAACCCGAATTCTTCTTCGAATAGTAATCAGACGAAAGTAAAACAGTTTAGGTTTCTTCTTGGACGGTCTGACCTTGTCTGACAATCCAGGAAAGTCCCCTTCAGTACTGGACGCGATCTCGGAGAAGACTGATTCCGATGTGTGCCCCATGGATCTGGAATCTGATAATTTGACAGATCACGACGATGAAGGAATGGATAGCTTCCCCCAAAAAGATGTCATTGAGAACAATATCATGAATGACTCAAGCGATAATGAGCGAGAGGGGGGACCTGCGACTGACCTCGCTGAAGATATTCCAGCCTCAACGATCAACCCCATTGCCACCACTTCCACCGATGATCGAATTATTCGTACTTTACAGAGAAACTCCGTGCAAAGGGAAATACTGAAGAAAAAGATGAGGAGCGAGGATGGTGACTATGGAGACGTCGTATATGTAGAATATTGGAAATTCAATACTTATCCTGAATATCTTCGGAACGGTGGTAAAGGAGAAGGGATGGTGAGTTTACCAGTTAAACGAAAAGTAATCACAATAAATGCAGATGGAAACTCGTATTTTGAATACTTCACAGGGGAGGAACATTTGGGGCCAGATAACTATAGTGGGTATCCAGAAAAAAAAAACCCGGACCATTGGACCAGATGATTATGGAAGTAACCTCACAATTGAACAGAGGGAGTTCTGGATCGTTGAGCCTCGAGTCTTATGATGTATATCTTGGGTACGGCGGCGACGACCCGTGTCGACCATACTGCTCCCTGGTCACACCGGGACTGAGGACGGAGTAACGTTAATAGAGAGAAGGATAGAGAATGATTGTTTCCCTAACAACCCAACTCAAAGTTGTTCCTCACATGATCAGTAAGTGGTGTGAGACGCTAAATTACCCACACATGAGTAGTAGTACTTTAGACACTGATAATTGCTTTTGTGTCTTTTACATCTTCTTCTTCCTCTTGACGTATGTCACAAAATCTATTTTTGATTTTACTTTTCGAACGGGACATTATTGCGTTGTCCCATGGTACGTTCAAGAACCTGATTCCACTGCTCATCCCGAAATCCAAGACATTGGTTTCTCCAAAAACCTTCTGACGTCTCGACGCTGTCGATTGGCAATGGTGGTGACGATGACGCTGACGACACTGACGATGAGAATCCAGAGGTAATGGGGGAGGGTGTTGTGGAATTTTTATTTTTATTTTTATTTTGATTCGGGGTATGCGACTGGATCTGGCAATGAGGACGCTTGATAAATGAGAAGGGTTATAGTCCATTCTATCTGTTTGATAGTATGGCAGAACAACTTTCCATAGAAAGTTATCAGAGTATTAGTGTTTGATTCAGATGACGTTAAATATTGGAGTCGTTAATGTTCAACGAAATAACTCATCTTTTCATATAATCTCTCTTGTTTCTTTTGCTCCCAAGTAAGGGCAGTATCCGGCATCTCTTTTCTTGTATCTCGCTGGTATAATCGCCTTTCTCAACTTACCATCCGCTGCTTTCCTCATATCTCAACAATGATCATCATCCCCTGAAACAACAACATGTCATTCCTCACCTCATCTTCACTTGTCGTTTCGACGACCTCACAAGGAGATGACTCTTGTAGAGGATCATCAAGATAGGATCGGCTTCTATTTACAACCTCGCCCTTTTCTTTTTCTCCCGGGATAGTCATTTACTCAAAACCTCTTTGACAGCACCTACAACTTTCTCCAAATCTCCTCTTTCCCTCTGTACAGCAGTGATACCCATATGACCGATTCTGAAATATTCCCCAGCCATAGCTTTGTGTAATCCAGCAGCTACCACAACTCCCTTTTCTGCCAAATGAGGCAAAACGTCAGGCGCTTTGAGACCAGGAGGGAATTTAATTGCTGTCATACCGTTTGCAGCAATGGATCGATGGAGTGGTACAAAAGAAAGACCGAGTGAGGTGAGAGAATCTTTGATATAGGCCGATGCGGCTTGATGAGCTGCGAAACGGTCTGAAAGAGGTGCGGAGAGGATAGAGGTTAGGGATGCGTGGAGAGCGTAGATTAGTTGAACGGGGGCTGAGGGTTAGCTTTAAGACTGAAGCATGATGCGCAGTCTGTGCTCGCCTCGAAGTACGAATGAGTCGATTAGTTTCAACGCGGGATCTAGTAGAATGAAAACCAGTCACAGGAAGGAGAGTAGGGCAAGGCTTTTCAGTAGTAGGTCACGTAAGTGGCGGTTGTAAAATGTGAAATGGGGTCACGTCAGATACACAGGATCGTGTCAATGGAGAGGGGCAAGGAGAAGCAAAGGGATACTGGACAACTCACGAGTAGCGAAATAACTCGGTTTACCCTCTTCATAAGCTTTCATCACAGGTAACCATCTTTTCCAACTAATATAATAACCTCCAACTGGAGATTTACGTTCTTCCAAAGTTTTTATAGCTTTTCCAGAAACCATCACTACGCTCAAACCGGGTGGAGCACCAAGACCTTTTTGAGTGGCGGAGATGACAACGTCCAAACCCCATTTATCGAATTGAATTTCTTCAGAAGCTACGGAACATACAGCATCTAGTGCGATGAGGGAGGAAGGGGAATGAGTGTGGATCAATTCTGCCAGATGGGCGGCTGGTGATAGAACACCGGTAGAAGTGTCGACTGTAAAGTCAGATCATAATGCCAAGTCCATCACCCTGTCTCATACCTCCTTTCGGTAGGCCTCTGGTGGGGAAGAACGAAGAGTTTACGAGGGAGTCATAAATCGCGACGAGACTAGCTAGACACGCATACTCCTTGTAAGAAGGGCAGGGAGGATGGGATGGAGGGGGGCAAAGGCATCAACAACACCGCCAGGAGGTGAAAGTAGATATGTAGGAGGGTTCTGCAACACTCACCATGAGTGATAGTAACCACTTTAAACTTCTTCTCCTTCAAAACAGCAATAACCTCCTCATCATTCGGTACACCCCCAATCTCCGCCGTAATCTTAGTTACTTCCGCTCCATACGCTTCTAAACAATCTGCAAAACTATCTCCAAAATAACCAGTAGCTAAAACCAAAGCTTCTTCCCCCGGCTCTATCAAATTAGCCCCTACTGCATCCCATCCTAGAGTACCAGAACCAGCAACGAGGAAAGATTGATTATCTTTACGTTCTTCAGCGAAAAGAACTTTACGTAGCATACGAAGACAATCGCCGAAGATTGGTATGAACGCTGGTGAGGTATGGGCTGTACCGGGTGTAGCGTTGGCATAAAGGACTTCATCGGAGAATTCGATAGGTCCTGGGATCCTGGTTAATGAGTGTGATTCTTTTGTAGGCTGGATGTATCAGGCTCGTGGATGAATGAGAGAAAAGATGGTAAAGGGTATCTGGATGGAGAACAGGGAGAAATGTAAGATCCAACTCACACCAAAAGCTTATGAGCTGCTTGTTGGAATTTCGCTTCCGACATGATTCCTCTTGTTATTCCTGTTATAGTCTGTCTAGACTGTACACTCCTTATACTCTGGATACTCTTGAAAACTGATCTGCTTATGAGTCTTGTAGACATAGAGTGGATGACAAGAAGACAAGGTGAAAGAGGAGGAAGACGGAGTTCCGGTCCGGGTCGAGGTCCACACTCATGTGAAATCTTACGTAAACAAATTCTTCTATGACACTCTCCGCCACTAACTCTATACGAGTGTTAAACTCTTCAACTTTGTACTTTGTAGAAGTATTCATATAATCTTTGAGATCTTCAATACTGAAGAACAACGGGGATATCCCAAAGTGGAACCAGAATTCAAAAAAGGAGGAGGAAAGACGCTCAAGAAAGAAGTTTCGAATCATGTCATTACCTAGAAAATCAAGGTCGACACATCCTATATTGTTAGCGGTCAGAAACAGACCGTTCTTATTATTTGGAGTTCCATTCGTATCCATCATCGTTTTCGCTTCTTTCGGCTTGAAAGCTTTGACTCAAACAAAGTGGGTGTGGTTTTCTATCACACTTATCCCTGTAGTTGGTGAATCATCATTAACATTCCTCATGTGAAGATCATATCATCTACTCAGGTCGCACGACGTTTCCTTGAGTGTTAAGCTTCTTACAAAACCTTGTGTGGATGGGTGGGGGTAAGCGTGGGGGAGTGGCTTAGGGGGTGGCCGGTGGTATGTGGGTAATATGAGATGTGGGATGGATGGAGGGGGAAGAGTTCACAAATAAATTTAAGGCTGATGCCCAGATACGATCTACATAATCAAAAAAATACCACTTTAACTACTGAACAAGCTCTTGGGATGGATAAAGAAAGGAAGAAATTTGATATCCGAGAAGAATACTACGTGAGATTCTCCTTCTCACCGTTGTCACCTATTCATTCTTGTTGTTCGTAGATACCCAACGATGCTGACGGTAAGAGACTCAATAATCCTTCTGCTCTTTCTTCAAACGCAAGATTAGACGCTTCCAAATCCTCCTCTCAATCCTCAACATCTTCATCCGGTCTCCAAAGCGTCGAGTCAGAGATGAGACAGGGTGAGAATGACCCGGTGAACAAACAGGAGAGAAGCTCGGAGAGGAAGAATAAGAAAATGACTATATCTCAGGAAGAATATGAACCTATACGTGTTCCACGACCGGCCGGTGTGTCCGAATGGGGTTCAGTCGGAGGATTGGAAGAGGCGCCTTTGAAAGGGTATAGGAAAGAAGATCGGTGGGTTTGAGCTTTTGTCAGTACATACGGAAGACTTGTTGTACATTTTGCACACTTGTAATTGTATTACATAGCATATGATGATCTTATCTTTTGTTGGCAGGTGCATAATCCATGGGAAGGATGAACTGTAGCAGGTCAAGAGAGTGGTGTTGAGGAGTCGGTGGTGGTATTGAGGAAAGGGGTGGAGTATGGAACAGGATGAATGGGGAAAGGGAGGAACAGTTCATCCCCCATGCAAAGTCGAAATGAAAACCACCTCATCACCATCTTTCAATAAATATTCTAACTCTCCTTCTAACTCCCAATCGGCATCGTTGATCAGGACCAATATCCCCGGTCGGCTGGTGGTCAACTAAAACACATCTCTCAATATCCTATCACTGTTCATCACGCCATGGAGGAGTTGGGAACCTGGTGAAACTGAACACGAAGGGTATGAGTAGTACCAAGAAGTGGCAGTCATTCTGGAGGTCATGAGTTGTATGGAAGAAGTGAAATGTTGGGGAAAGTGAAATATTGGGACAAGTGAGGTATCGAATAAGAATGAAAGTAGTAAATATAAAAGAGGTGAGAGAGAATATAACTCACACACTATCACCTTCCCCAAACATCTCCGGTCTTTCACTTAACAAATTCTCTTTCAGCCATCTTACCAGATATCGCATATCAGGAGCTTCAGGTAGGTCGGATTGAGGTATTTGACAAGGTATGTGGATTGTATGTTTTGGTTTTTGAGAAAAGAGTAGGTGTAAACCGCCTCTGTATGTAAGTTGACATCAACCTGCTCGACCGATTCGAGACTTGATGGGAAGCATCTCCATAGATATAAAAGAACACCTTCCAGAGAGTCATCGCAAGAGGATCAGGGTGAGGGTTATGGGAGATGGTTTGTGAATCAAAGTGATAGAGGATAATAATAGGTGATAGTAATTATGAGGACAACTGACGTGAGTATCGGACAGTCAGACGAGGGATAGATAGGTAAAGACGGTTAGATGTACGCAGGAGGTTATAGAGGAGCAGGAAGTAGGAAAACTCACCCAAACTCTATTAATATCTCCAACTCTTCTTCTTTCTTCACTATAGTCGAACTTGACCCTGATGCCTCTACTTCCGTCTTTCCTACGTACCCCAAGCCGTTGGAAGTGACCTCTGGGTTCATGGTCGTCATCACTGTCGCCACCGTCGCTGCCATGGTAGTACTATGGGTAGAACTGAGGATGGAAATTCCCCTATGAAATTGACATTTTCCCACGGTCGTCTAAGACCACTTTGCTCTTTCCCCCGAAAACGCCCTACATTCCGTCTCCTCCACCTTCTATCTCTCCCTCTATATATACATCATGCAAGCTATCAGGCTTAGGTCCCGTCTCTCCCTCGTCTATAGGAAGGGTATACAACGTCGGGTGAGCTGTGTCTTACGACGCTGGACGGAAAACTGACGAAAAGTTACTGGCGACTCCTCCTTCTACTCCCCTCGGTCCCACTTCCTCCCCCACAACATTAGCTGGAACCGTCCCGCCTACAACCCCCGGGTCCCCTCCTATCCGTCCAGTGGTCATAACCAATGCTCCTACTCCTGCAGGCACCAACGGTATTCCTCCTCCCCCTCCCCCTCCCCCGCCTAAACAACGTCGTTTCTTCCGTCGACTCATCCTCTACACATCTATAGGAGCCCTCATTTTTTATCCTACTTCAGGTTGGCTTTCCACGCATTATGAAACCTACCGCGATTTATTCATAACTCTACCTGGCGGCGAGCTCGTAGCTGATTATGCGGATGAACATGGTTGGCAGAGTTTTGGATATGGGACGATGAGTAAGAAAGTTGTAGAGGTTCTTCAATGGGCAAAAGGTGAGGTTCCCAGTAAAAGCACAGCGGAGACTATAAGAGAAGGGAAAGATGATTTGATGAAAAAGATTGAGAAAGCTAGATTAGAGACAGGGAATGAAGTTCATAAATTGTCCACTGCGACTAAAGAGGGTTTGGGAAAAGTAAAGAATGTAGTTTCTGGTGAAAAATCCAAAACGTCTTCTGGTATCACACATGCTACAGAGGTACTCAAAGAAAGGACGGAGGAGATCAAAGAGAAAGCGGTTGAAGTGAAGGAGAGAGCGAAGGAAATGGTGGAACATGTCAGAGAGATCACAACTGAGGCTGGACATAAAATTGCCGAAACAGCCAAAGAAGTACCATTCAATTTCTCAGATGGAGTAGAAGGTATCGTACGTGAAGCCGAACGAGCATTGTCAAACTTTGATTCGAAAACTTCAACTTTACCCGTTATCTCTACAAGTGACGTTGGGAAAGGAATTGGTCCAAGAGTAATGGTTGATACTCAACGTCCAAGAGAATTAAAACCTGAAACTGTCACTCCTCAAAAACCATCATTTGAAGGGAAAGAAATCTACAAAACACCACTGCCATTAGGTTTCGAACCTCCTCCTGGATATTACATCCCTCCTCCTCCAAAACCTGAAAAAAATGAGAATACAGGCAAGACTTTACCTCTGTTGGGACCGAAGGTAAAAGAGTTTGCGATTGAGGAACCGATAATCGCACAATTGGCAAGCACGATAGACTCACTCACAACTTCTCTCGCAGGTACAGCAGCGGCGACAAGTTCCGAGGCGGGAATAATTCTCACCAAAGCGCAGGAAGATTTATCAGCCTTGAACGGGAGGTTGACGGAGGTGAAGAGGGTTGAAAAAGAGAGAATGGAGAAGACTGTAGGGGAGAAAATCAAAGATTTTGAGATTGTTTTAAAGGAGAAAGAAACGGAGAGGTTGAGAGGTGAACAAGGATTGAAGGAAGAGTGGGAGAAGGAAAGGGGTAAAATGGTGGAAGAATGGAGAAAAGCTTTGGAAGGGGAATTGGAAGTGCAAAGAGAGGGTATTGAGAAAAGGTAATTCGTCTAGAGTTGATCATCCTGTTTCTTCATCTGTTATGATTACTGGACTTTCGAAATATTCCGCTTTGACCAACCCTTTGTTGATCTTAAAACATCGTACCCTTCATTCCATCTCAACTGTCAATCATACCATCATTCGCTGCTCAATTCACACGTTCCCGCAAGGCTATATGACTGAGTCTATCGAGGGTGACTTGAGTTCGAGCTGTGGAAGATGTTAAGGACAGAGCTGATCTTAGACTTCGGGAAGAAGTGATTTCCCAAGGTATCGAACTTCAACGTCGGTGGTTACGTTCCATCAAATCTCAAGTCGAATCAGAACGTGGTGGACGTCTTGCCAAATTAGACAATCTCACAACTTCATTGAAACAATTGGAACGTATAACTTTGGATAATTCAGCTACGCTGGATGATAATGTGAAATTACACAAACTTTGGTCGGCATTACGTGCTATTCAAACTAAAGTCAATACTGGGGATATCACTTTCGAAGAGGAATTAAGGGTTTTGAAAAATCTCGTTTCTTCCTCTTCCTCCACCTCTTCCTCATCCCAAACCTCTTCTTCTTCTCTCAACTCCTCTACGTCATCTGATGGATTTGGGACAGATTCCAAAGCAATAACCATCGCTCTCACTCAATTAGAAAAATCAAACATTCCTCAAACTGGTATAAAATCTTTCTCTTCCTTAGCTACATGGTTCACACAATCAGTAGCACCTCGTATTCATTCCGCTTCTTTGGTACCGGATCCAGAAGAAGCAGGTGTCATCTCTCATCTCGCGAGCAAAGTATTGAGTAAGGTCATGTTTTCACCTAAAGCGGGTTTGGTAGATGGAGATGATGTGGGAAGCGTTTTGGCGAGAGCTGAATGGTGTTTGGCACAAAAGGATTTGGATGGAGCTGCGAGAGAAGTTAATAGGTTGAAAGGTTGGCCGGCGAAGTTGGCGGGGGATTGGTTAAGGGAGGCTAGGAGGACTTTGGAGGTTAATCAGGCTTTGGAGGTGAGTCACTTATCTTTTTCTCACATGTTCCAAGCTTGTTTTTATTTCTCAAAGCTCTGACCGAAGATCATTTCACACATATGTTGACGATTAGATCGTAGCTACAGAAGCTACCCTCAATTCTTTGCTTTTGGTCTAGTCACGAACACGAATAGCGAGAAAAATGCACAAAAGCTAGAAGGAAGCCTACTGACCACCCTACTAATCTATCGCTTTTCGCAGTATTTCTCCCTTTCTCATCGCACCTTCATTCTCGTCATCAAAGTCCACGCTCATCTGTCATCGTCTCTTGTCGTTGTCTTCCATTCACTCCAAGCTAAATCCCAATCACATCTATGATCCTCGCAGGCACCGTCCAACTCCGATTATCATCATTCTCGTCAAAGCTCACACTCCATTGACCTGAACCGCTGATTGTCTGATCTGCTAACGTTTAGCTGCCTTTGACACCATGACGAATACAAAGGAACCCTGACAAAGCAGTCTTCATCTACTTCACACAGGTGACCATAAGAACATACGCATAGGTACCGATGTGATCCACGACCCGATGTCCAATTCAACGCTTTGTGAGTCTGAAAGACTTTTACAGGATGACAGAATTGATCATCCGCTCTGGACTCAGGATTCAGAGTATGAGACTTACAAAAACGTGAAATATGTTCAAGATCAAGAGATGGAAGATGATCCAGCAGCAGGTGAACCTGATGTCATTATCGGTTGGGGAGAATTCACAAGACATGTTAGACGATATAAGATGTTTTTGGGGTTGTTGATGGGATTAGGGTTGGGTTTGGAGGGATGGTGTTTGGTGAATGAGCTTAGAATGTTGAGTGTGGATGAGATGGGTGACCTTGGGTTGAAGAGGGATGGGATGGTGAATGCTAGGATAGGAGTGAACGTAGTGGGTTTAATGAGCATGGTAAGTATACTGAATTTCCACAAATGTTTTGCACTACTCCTTACATTGAAACTGGAATGATCAGTCTCTACAGCCTATCTCATCTCCTCGAAACCTCTATCATCCTATTCCTTTCCCCTGCGACAGTTTCATCCATCACGACGTGTACACCTCAGTGCTCAATCTAAAATTATACAGTTCAAGTTTTTCTCTGATGTCTTAAACCTCTGCACTCGGTCGCATATTTGAACGCGAGACTGATCTCTAGCTATACATACTATCTCTATACCTACTTTCCCTCTTCCGACCTCTTTATCTGGCCCCATCCGCTGGATCCGAATCTTCCAGTAACTCACATCGTAGTCGAATGAAAGGAAGTAAAGAATCGGATATTCGACATAATGCTCTTCACCGTCGTTTATGCACACAAGGATTCTGGTTTCTAAGTCTCATGATACTCCTACATCAAGCACCCGATTTGTTTTATATTTTGAAGTATCATCAAACTCCTTCTTTCTCTCCCACCTCTATATCCCACTCTTCTTCCACTTCCTTTACCTCGTCAATCTCTTCATCTTACATCTCTTCCTCGACTTTGACCAGTTCATACCTTCCCAACCTTCACTATTTTTCTTTCTCGACCTTCTTCGACAGTATCTCAATGTTCACCTCGAAACCCTTTTCGTCGATCGTATCTCTGTTCAGTATCGATACCGAAGGCATTCGGAATGTCCCAGGTTTCGGGATCAAGACTATTCGTACTATGCTTCAAATGGCTGCGTGGTTGGTTGTTGGGTTTATGAGACGCGGGCCAAAGTTGGGATATGAGACACCTAAGTTAGGGACTGGCTTTGGACTCAGTAGAGATCCTGTTCGGTCAGAGGGAAAGAGCCGAAAGCTTCTCAGATCTACGAATATGATACAAAATATTGGTAATGATGCAGTAGGAGATGAAGGATTCCGGAGCGAGGAAGATGGAAAAAGTGAGGTATTTGATAGAGCTAATTGTGGAATGTTGGACTTTATTTTCTTGACATATGTGAGTAGAACTTTCCCTCCTCCCTCTCACCTCGTCCACTTTGATCTTCAGACCTCCCATTCGTCTTGTCACCTGGCGTACCAGACTGCATTTTAGGCTGGATACATTTCATACACAAGGTGATACATTTCAGACAAACATGAACTCACGAACAGTCCGCAGGAACTCTCTTCAAATCCATGAGAGTTACCTCCTTAGCACTTGGTGATTTACCATATCTAGCACAACAACAACGACGCGCGGGTTTCAGAGCTACCGTATACAAACATGGGAATGTCCGTTTGGACAAGGAAGGGAATATAGAAAAGATAACAGGTTGGCAAGTTCTCAAAGCTCTTTATAGGGGACAAACTTGGAATATGTTGATAAGTGGGTGTTCGATCTCTTTACTGTATCTCCCAGAGTTCTATTCACTATGATTTCAGCATTTCTCGACCTTGATCGTTTTTCATTTGACGCATCTTCAAGTGATATTCATCAAGTGTAACTAAAACATATCCCACTACCTCGCCATAGAATATCAACTGGGAAAGAGTATAAAGACCTGACGGATAGATGTCATTCTTGAAGGTTTACCTCAATTCTTCGGCTATCTAGTCATATTCGCACAACATGAATTGATACAATCTTTCATCCCAGGGGAAAGAGATAAGACTTACGCTTATGTACTCTGCGGTCTTTTATTCGTTGGACAATCGACTGAAGGTGAGTCACCATAATATGAGGAGATGTAAGACTGATCACAAGTTATCATTTCGGCTTTTGCTAGGTTAGTATTCAAAGTTCTTCACCTAAGTGAGATGAATGATTGACGGGATAGTGTAAGGGAACATGTGTTCCTTCATGTACCGATAAGGATGACACTTTCTTCTTTGGTACGTCTAATCTTTGTGGTCCCTTTTCGTCCTTCTCTTTCTCCCTCACCCTCTTTCTATGGCCCAACGTAGCACACAGAAGTATGTTGACAACTGAAACGGATGTGCAGGAATCCAACTTTAGAATATAAGTAGGAAGACCATGCTCATATATAGTTGTTTCAGAAAATCTTACGTTCTCACGATGCAAGATCTCTCGAGTCGACAGAATCGTCTGACAATGATGAATTGAAAACTCGGTCCAGGAGTCAAATCTTGAATTTGTTGACTATTGATAATTGGACATTATCCACCTTACAGCATTTGGTATGGGGTTTACCCAATAATACAATCAACTGTGAGTCTCTTGCTCAATACCGTTCTCCATCTCCATACCCTTATAATTTTCAATAGCTCCCAATAATCCCTTCGTCTATGTTAACATTTTATCTCTTTCCTCTCAACTTGAATTATTACTTTTTATACTCTGCAAGGTATATGCCACAGATTGAAGTTGCTTCCGGAATATGATGACGTAGGATGGAAAAGACCGACTCGACAGCTAATTCGCAGTACTGATTGGAACCTACTTTTTATACTCCATGTTAGGCATCAGCGCGTTGGTAGGTATCGCCTGTATACCTATTTTTGCACCTTTACCTTACTTTGTCGGAAAACTCATTTATCGTACGTTTCTCATATTCCGTTTACCCGGGCCAAGTAACGGAATAGGTTGTGATAGAGCTTGGGCCAAAGCGAGAGATGCGAGAACAAACGCGGTGAAGGAATTTCTGATGAGTGTCAAAGTGGTCAAGGTGAGAGTATATTCCCTTTCCTGTCTTTTTGACTCCTATCTCCGTAGGCCGGTATTCATTTCGTCCCCACAGCTCCCTTCACAAGTGATTGATGTCCATTGACTGACCGAAAGTTGAACGCATTCGAGCCATTCTACAAGAAACGAATAACTGATCTGAGAACTGAAGAAGTCAAGTAAGCGCTGACATATTCATTTTCGATGAAGACTCACGGTACAGGTGGCAGCGATGGCGATATACCCTAGGAACTATCTTTACGGCGATCACTGAACATACTCCTGGAGTGGCTTTGGTGGCTACTTTGGGTTTCCATACTGTCGTTTTGGGAAGACCGTTGGAACCTGCCAGTGCATTTGTTGCAATGACCATGTGAGTTCTCTGATGTCAACCAACCCAGCTACATATGACCAAGTTCATTGTTACGCCTTACTCCCTGCATCTGTACTCTTGCATCTTGCAGACAATATGGCAACGGTATGGAGATCGAGACCATCTCTGATGCTCAGCTTTGGCCGCATTAAAAGCAGCATGTCATGGCTTCCCAATGCCTTACAACAATGTTTCCAAGCTAAAGTAGCCTTGGACCGTGTGGCCAGTTATCTCAATCAACCTGAAGTTGATGTGGAAGCATGGAACACCTCGGCTGTACCCTCTGGGATCGTGATGGCTGATGCAACTGTCGAGTGGCCAGGTGGTGAGGAAGGGAACAAAGAAGAGTTGATGGATGATAAATTCAAGTTGAGCAATGTGACATTGAGTGTCCCGGAAGGAAGGTTGACGATTGTCTGTGGTCCTCTTGGGTCGGGGAAGAGCTTATTGGTAAGTCATTTCCTTTGTCTGCTCAATTTTGTTTTTCTCCTTGGGAGTTCTCTGCGACTGTCTCGCCCTCCTGACCGCTCACAGTTGCCCTCTGCGTATCTCTCATATGGATTGCCTCACAGGTTTTTACGCGATGTGCCGTGTCCAGACAGGGGGGGAAGAAGGGTACTGATGGAAAGCTCCGCGCGCTTTTGGGTGAAGCAACCGTCACTTCTGGAATCCTTCTCGCTCCTCGAACCCATCCGGCGGCCACACCACTTAACGGTCCGGCCGTCCGGCGCGCATGGACCTTGAGTACTTGGCTGGATGATTCTGTGTGTTACGCACCACAAGCGGCGTATATCCGTCATGGGACTATCAAGGACAACGTTTTGTTCGGACAACCTATGTGGAAGGAAAGATATGAAAGGGCGTTATGGGAAGCCGGATTGAGTGGAGATTTGAAAGGATTCGAAGAGGGTGATAGGACAGAAGTAGGCGAGATGGGTGTGACTTTGGTAAGCTCCATTCCGTCCGCTTCATGCCAAGACTCGCCGCATCATCGTCCCTTGGCTCAAATCCCCGTATTCAGTATTATATCCCTGACCCATCGAGCATAAAATATGTATGGTCAGCATGGAGAAGAGCAATCTCCTAGTTAAGACAAAATGGTGAAGCTTACAGTCAGAGCGGTGGTCAACGTGCTCGTATCAATCTGGCTCGTTGTCTATATTCCCGTTCTCGGACAGTGTATCTCGACGATATCCTCTCCGCCGTCGATGCTCATACAGCAAAGTTCCTGGTTGCCAATGCCTTTCAAGGTACTCTATTCCGATATCGTACGGTCATTCTGGTCACCCACCATGTCGAGCTTTGTTTACCTGCTGCGGAATATGTCATAGTCCTTGAAAATGGTCGAGTGACTAGTGCTGGTCCTTCCCAGAATGCGGACGCAGAAGCTTTGACTGCATTAGCTTCTCCCAAGAGTCCTGTAGATCCATCCCGACCTGACTTTAGCACCTCTCAAGCTCTTTCCACCTTACCTCATGACCCCCCGCCTGAATCACTTTCACTTCAGCTCCATGATGACGATTCCGAAAACTCTGAAGAACCACACGAAAATCAAGCCGAATATGAAGATGGAGAAGATCACAAAGGAAGACAAGTGTATACGGTAGAACATCAAGGTGTGGGTCGAGTGGCAAGCTCACATTATTGGCTCATGCTACGTGCGGCAGGTGGATGGTCATATTGGATCACATGGATTTTACTTTTATCTATAGCCAAAGCAACACATTTCATCCAATCATATATCCTCGAAAGATGGTGTGAAGATCCTTCTCCCAATCATCAAAATGGTTATCTGCTTCTATTGATATTGGCGTTATCATGTGGCATGGTGAGTGGGACTGGAAGATGGGTTTGGTTATATGGAGTGGGAAATTATGGGTTTTATTCCAGAGGAAGTCATTTGATACATAAAGAATTATTGGGGAAAGTTATGGCTGCCAGTGTGGGATGGTTTGAAGCTACACCGAGAGGGAGGTTGATGAATGTTTTCGGACAGGACATTTACAATTTAGATGCGGTCAGTGCGGATGCGTTTGGAAGTGAGTGATTTCTTCCTTCATTTCACTCCATGTCACGTTATACTCCTTCCCCTCCTCACAAAATCCCGAGTACGTGGAGGTCTCATTTGCGCCCTGTGTTTCGTTCCATTGTTATTCACCTTCCCGCGGCGATTACTTTCTTTACTACTTTTACTGTAGGCTATGTACGATTGTCAATCTTGACAACATCTACTACGCTCCAATGGTCCGCTAGTCATTGGCTAGTTTGTGTCACTTCTGCGTGGGGACTTTGACTAATCAACAGGAACAGCAATGAGCGGTAAGCGGGTAAGGTTCAACATATGTAGCAGATATTGACATCGCTCTAGCTTTAGATATCATCTCATCAATCGGAGTTATCCTCACTCGTACTCCTGTAAGCTACCGAACCTTGAGTTGCTTAGAGAAGCTGACATTCAGTTACTAGTGATTTTTCTAGTCATCTTCGGTATTCCGCTGTACTATCTTTCTGCCGTGTGAGCTGATCCTCCTCACCGAGTGTGGTATAGCTGACATAAAGATTGGGAAAGATGCGTGCCGATTTGAGAAGGATCATGGCTCGTGTAAGCTCACCTTTGATGAGTTTATATAACGATGCGATAGATGGGGTGGTGATGATTCGAGCGTGTGTCTTTCTTTCATATCGTTTCTGTCTTATCTGATACCGTTGCTCAACGTTCCTCCGCACATTCGCTCATAATCTCACATAATCGTTCTTTCCACAACTCTGAATACTCTTCTTCAACGTTTCTAGTAAGCTGAGACAAACAGGACTGGGTCTAGTGAGGTTATGGCTGCTTCTATGATGGCACTTATGAATCGAGAGAGAGTGGCTAATGTGGCCGATTGGACATGTGAGTGAACTCATAAAATCTCACTCCCACGCTCCCTTCTTTTCCAATCTCAAATCATTTACACAGTGAGCTCATAATAGGTTATAATTGGATGCGAGCAACAGTTCAAACTCTTACTTCTGGTATTGTCACCGCCACAGCTTTGCTTTTAGTTCAGAGAACCGACATCACTCCTGCTCAAGCTGGTTTCATCCTTTTGTTTGCCGTACGCATGTCTGGAGGTGAGTTGAAGTATTTTGTGCCATTGAATGGGGAAGAGTTGATGTTTTAGTCTTATTTCATACTTTACAACAATATAGTGACTTGGAAATGAACTTTGTACATGCTGAAAGAGTGAATTACTGTGAGTTATTCCCCTTGTCCCTTCAAGCCATTTCCTCCTTCCCGCTCACTCATGCTTCTCTCTTACAACAGATTGAGCTAGTCGTTCGTCTGGTGTCGGGGAAATGATACCTGAGAGTCGATTGGGGTGGAGATATAAGTGCCTGATCGGTCAGATATACAAATGCCAGAACAAGAAACGTCTGAAGGCATCAGTCCACCTCCATCTTGGCCTCAGGACGGAAGGATCAAAGTCCGGAACTTACACATGAAGTATGCGGAAGATTTACCGGATGTATTACATGATATTTCATTTGATATCGAGGTATGTTCATCTCTTCTCTTCTTCTCCTTTTTGTGCTCCCTGTTGTGTCCCGTATGTAGTATGATTTTGTATTGGTCACGATTGAGGTATAAGGAAAATGTGTTCCGAATAGGGATGATGAAACTGATTTTTAGCCTGGTGAACGGGTTGGGTTGGTAGGTTCGACAGGATCAGGAAAATCGACACTTGCCACCACTTTGTTCCGTACTACTCCGTACTCTGGAACTATCACCATCGATGATACGGGTATGTCAATCATCTCCGTCTCCATTTATTACTCCCCTTCCTCTTTCCCTTCTTTCTTGTCTCTCAGACCTGACCATCTGAGCTCATACATTTAGGACGATCATCAAACCAATGATTCAGAGTCTGTGTTGAACACTATCCTGACAGTAGATATCTCAACCATACCACTGAACGATCTGCGTGGGAGGTTGAACATGGTTGTACAAGATGGTTCTTTGACCAGTGGAACTTTACGAGAATCCCTTGATGTCACAGGTCAACGTGGTGAGTAATTTCACATGACAATCCATCTCTTCCTTTTCCCGATCCCGTCGTCATCGGGAAATTGGGAGATGAAGTGATGGTTTCACTTGCTCGTTATCAGTTACGTAGTGAAGCAGAAGTAGCTGAGATGATAGATGATTGGGAAATATATGAAGCCCTCAAAAGAGTTCATCTCTCATCTGATGATCCAGGAGAAGAAGAGAAACGGGATAATCCATTTGCTAACCTAGATACTTATGTTGCTGTTGGTGAGTCTTCTATACGATATCCCTCCATCACCAATTTGAATAAACCAAAATGTCCATGTGGAGAAAAAGACATGCAAGGATATCATCTTTCGTCTCATCTTCTCAATGAAGAATCTAGAGGAGTAGTACAAATGAAGCTGACAAGTTCAGAAGGAGCCAATTTCTCTCAAGGTCAGAGACAACTTTTATGTTTAGCTAGAGCATTGTTGAAACGTTCAAAAGTATTGGTAATGGATGAAGCTACTTCTTCTGTCGATCTCGAGATGGATGCTAAGATTACTCGTACGATAAAAGAATGTTTTCAAGGTACTACAATGTTGGTGATTGCACATCGTTTAGAGACTATTATACATTAGTGAGTCACAATTGACTCTTACTTCTATTCTACATTTGTCCCATCATTTCTCCTCCTCCTCTTCCCATTATGGCGGTTTCAATCTTTCTACTCTTCTCATTCAGATTGCTGGTTGGCACCCTATATCAAACTTGGAATTGTCTCATTGGGTCAACTTTTCTCTTGACCGATACCTAAGGAGCTGAAGTGGGTGTAGACTAGAGCGGAGATGATGGAGTCACGAAAGGAACTGACAATCAGTGACAAGGTTATTGTGTTGGACAAGGGAAAAGTGTTGGAATATGGTAAACCTTCCGAATTGATGATGGATCCAACATCATCGTTCCATTCTCTCTGTCATGCACAGGGAGAGGAAGAATTTCAAAAGTTAGTTTCTATGACAATGATAGATTCATAAGCATTAGATTAGTTATCGTACCTGTAGAGATAGATTTATGTAGATTCAGATATCCCCATGTATGTAATCGCACTCGCACTCGTATACCGGGGCATGGTGCGTGCGCTGTTGGTACTTTGCTATCCGCCACATCGCCACATTCATTACGTCATTCCCTTTCACCACCACTCGTCATTAAATCATGTCATATCATCTCACCCAAAACAGCAACTACTGTACTGCAGTGACCTCTGCTGTCAGGGTGGTACCAAGGATCCAAGGAGAGTATCAGTCCAAAGGTATGTTCAAACAAAGCAGCATAAAAAAGTGAAAGGAGTGAATCTAATGGAGGGTGTGGTTTGGTCCAGACCCCTAGACATAAAGACCTCAAGGGCTTCTTCCAAGATATAAAAGACAAGCCTCACATTGGTATCCCCACCACTCTTTCAATCATCATGGACTCTTCTGGATCCGATACGGAAACTTTACTTTCAAATGGATCAAGTGGAGAATGGACCGATATACATCGAATGGATCATAACGATCAACCGATTGACGTTGAAGGGTTCTTGAATAATGTTCGGAGATGTAAGTCGTTATTGGGGGTTGCGATACCTTTAGGTGTTATAGTTGAGGTCACGGGATTGGTTTTGAGTTGGAATGGGGGAGGTGGGAGAGGGGTCGTATTGGCTGAAAGAGTGATTGGTCTGGTTGGGGTGGTAGGGTTGGTGAGTTCTTTTTCGTGCTTCTCTTCTCACCTGTGTCTCGTTTCGATACTCCTCCTTCACTTCAGGTGACATTCGATTTGATACCTGTCTTCCAAAAGGATATATCATGAGGAGATGAACCTCGCTCCATCCCTTTCTATCATTTGCGTCTATCATTCGAAAGAACCTAAGCACTATAACATGTAGAGCAGGAATCACACCGACCTGGATTACTTGTGCTAATCCCCAGCTTCTCATCTTTTGTCTTTACATATACACCCTACTCCACCCAATAACATACGATCCAATCTCAAGACATATCAAGCTCCATCGTAAATTATGCACCACAACCTTTTTCTCCCTCCTCCTTCTTATCCTCATTCACCCGATCCCTTCCATCGTATCAATCATCATGACGCATCATTCCCCTCCTACAACTTCGACCACGATTCAAATAATCACTTGGGCACGTAGAGTATGTCTGCTGTTGGTATTGGTTATATCAGGCAGTATGCGACGCGGACCTAAATTACGTACCATACCTATGAAGTTAGGGACGGGATTTGGGATCAATGAGCAAAATAAGGATGTTCCAAAAATCAGATTAAATGGAAGTTGTTCTCCTCTTGATTTAGCAGAGGTAGAAGAAGGGAATAGAGTTTTAGATTATGGGAATTGTTCTTTATTGAATTTCATTTTTTTGACTTATGTGAGTAATTTGTCTCTTTACATCACTATACTGTGTCATCTACCCAGAACGTGTACAACAGGTATTTGATACCCATTCATCACCCTGGTGGCCGTACTCGTACTAATCCCTGATGTGCTTTAGTCACCCATTGGATATATAACTAAAGTGAAACTCAAGATCTGACTTCAGATGTCAGGTCTTATGCGTAGATCAATGTCTGTAGACAAACTCAGTCTTTCCGACCTTCCTGAATTAGAAGAAAAGATTCGGATATCAGGACAAGATGTTCAAATCTCTAAACGCAAAGCATTGGAAGTGAACGAGAAAGTCACCAATTGGAGTCTCCTTCAAGCTGTTTGGACAGGAAGAATACATGTCATCCTATTTTGTAAGTCCACTCTTCAGTTCAACATTTCACCCTCATATGACATACACTAATGTCAAGCATTATTTCTGGAGACTCTCAAAACTAGCGTTAGCTTTCTTTCGGTCGTTGCGACACATGAAATCATTCAATCTTTTAATCAACCATTCGGATCGGACAAATCTTATGCTTATCTCATGTGTTGGCTTCTTGCCGCTGGTCAAGCTGTTGAATGTAAGTAGATCATGATGAATGACAGAGAACTCGCTGATCTTCCAGTGTTCCTCAGTGCTTATTTATGGTGAGATTCACGTTGTCAACAAACATCATTTGAAGAGAACTGACGAATAGTGTTAGAGAAAATTATTTACTCCATCTACCTATCCGAATGACTCTTTCGTCTTTGGTCAGCTGCTATCATGTATGGTATAATCAAGCTGATCAATTCTAGCTTTTCTCGAAAATTCTTCGAAGCACAGATGCCAAAGCCATGGAAGCGCATAATGTCACCGATGACGAGAAAAGCTCAGGTAGTAAAGGTCGTAGTCAAGTAAGTTGATCATTTTCCAATTTCCATTTTTTTAATCTATCTGAATAATGCTAATCGCCTAGGTAATGAATCTTTTGACTATCGATACTGGAACCATCGCTTCTTTAGGTACACACACTTGGAACCTTACGAACGCCATTATCGGATGTGAGTATTTGTCCTCTCTCTCATGTCAAAGTCATTGACGATTTAGTGGTCATCGGAATATACTTTTTGTATTCAATGTTGGGCATCAGCGCTTTTGTCGGTATACTTTGTATACCATTAAGTACACCGGCTTCGTATTATGTTGCAAGACAAATTTACAGTGAGTTTATTAGTCTGACAAGAGGGTATCGCTCATTGATGAAGAATGTGATAAGAAATTGTCACGTGCGACTGATGCTCGGACTGGCGCTTTCAAAGAATTGTTACTTGGGATTAAAGTGATCAAGGTACGTCTCTCTCTCTCTCTCAAAACACACTCTCTCCTCTGATCCGCCCTGTCTCGCTTTGCCATAAAACTCTCTTCCCAGCTGACAAGTAGTTGAACGCCCTCGAACCATTCTACAAACGTCGTATCACCCATTTGCGAGAGAACGAAATACAGTCAGTCCTCTCGTCCCCTTTTGCTTCCAAGTGTAAGTGTAAGCCTGACTTGTTAGCTTGCAAAGATGGAGATTCACCCTTGGAACTCTGTTTAACGTCCTCGCGGATCAACTTCCCATACTGGCTATCTCTATCACATTCGTATTCTATACTAAAGTCATGGGAAACCGTCTGGACGCCGCCACAGCGTTCATCGCTCTTACTGTGTAAGTCACCTTCTCTTCCGCCAGAACTTCGCTGACTCGAGTAGGTTCAACAGAGTCAAAGGTGACCGGCACATTTGATGACATTGTTGACGGACACTGATGAAACAGGTAGTCTAAGCAGTGTACCAAGAGTGTACGAGAGCGTACTTCAAGCTCAAGTCTCCCTGGGACGTCTAGTCACCTATCTCAATCAACCGGAGATCATCGTGGATGAACCAAGCAATGGCGAAGAGATCATGATCAGCGATGCGACTATCACCTGGCCCAAAGCTGAGAATGTTGACCTCTCCGAGGTTTTCAAGTTATCAAATGTGAATCTACAATTACCGACCGGAAAACTTACTCTGATATGTGGACCTCTTGGAAGTGGAAAAACATTGCTCGTGAGTGACTTGAAAGATACCGTAGAGTAGTGTGGCTGACGTATAGCTCCGTGCTTTGTTAGGTGAAACGACCATCGAATCAGGTTTTGTCCATGCGCCTCGAACATCCCCAGATGCCACTCCTCTACCTGGCGATGATGTGTCCAGAAGATGGACGACAGATCTTTGGCTCACCAATTCCGTTGCATACGCTCCTCAGCAAAGTTATATTCGACATGGTACTATCAGGGATAACATACTTTTCGGCCAACCCATGTGGAGAGAACGGTACGATGAAGTCTTAAGACAAGTTTCTCTTTTACCCGACTTGGAAATTCTACCTGAACGTGATTTGACCGAAGTAGGTGATTACGGAGTAAACTTGGTCAGTAATCTTCTCCTTTCTTTTCAAATCGTGACTGATAATCAGAGTGGAGGTCAAAAAGCTCGTATCAACTTAGCACGTTGTATTTATTCTCGAGCCAAAACGATATACCTAGACGACATTCTCTCAGCCGTTGATGCTCATACATCTCAATATATTCTCAAAGAATGTTTTCAAGGATCTATCGTGCGTAATCGTACCGTAGTCCTAGTGACTCATCATGTCAATCTTTGTCTTCCAGCTTCAGAATATTTCATTTCCCTAAAAGATGGTGAAATCGAACAAGCTTGTCCATCAAATCAAGTCAACATCTCCAACCTCATCCTCCTTCCAGATGAACCCAAACCTTCCGACTCTGTCAATTCTATGAAGATCACAAAAACGATGGATGAACCAAATAGGATTCGACAAGTTTACAAAACTGAACATCGTGCTATTGGTAGAGTTTCAGCTTCACATTATTGGTTAGTTTTCTCAGCAGCTGGTGGTCCGTTCTATTGGTTTTTATTATTACTTTTATTAGTAATGACAAGATTATCAGATGTTTTACAAGCTATAGTTTTAGAACGTTGGTCTGCGGATCCGGATCCTAATCATCTCGATTGGAATTTAGAATTATATGTCGGCGTGGTCACTCTTGGAGTTGTATTTGGAGGATTGAGATGGATCTGGTTATATGGGATCAAAAGTGTTGGGTTTACTTCAAGAGCAAGTAGAGTTATTCATGAGAAATTATTAAAAAGATTGTTGAATGCTCCTTTGGGTTGGTATGAAGGAACACCAGGAGGAAGGATAATGAATGTTGTAGGACAAGATGTTTGGAATATCGATGCTTGTACACCTGATGGGTTTGGAAGTGAGTTTTTTATCCCCCTTTCGATTTCATTCATTTTACCAAACTTCTTCTTTATGTCGACCTTGCTTTCTGGAGTGAAGCATCTACCCCCCTTTCGAGCAATTGAATATTTCCATCCGTCATCCACAAACTTTGACTTAGGTGGAAGAAGTTTGTTCCTTTGGCCCTTTCGGCGTCAAGGGAGTCGTTTCTCTTTTGCTACAGTCTGACGAGCAGGAACGGTAATGGTGGCGTTGGAAATCAGTTCGGCATTCATCATTGTTTGCGCTCAAGCACCGGTATGATTTTCTTCTCTCTTCGTATATCGTGATGGAGCTGACGGAAAAGAGTCTGGTGGTTTTCATTGTTGCATTGGGTGTTCCGCTTTACTTTCTGAGTGGCATGTGAGTCGAATTCTCCCCTCTCCCTGGCCCTTATTATGTTGTCTTTTCCCGTTATCTTCTGCCTGTATCCTTGACCTGATCTCTGAACATGAGTGGGGTAGACTTGCAATGAAGTGAACACATCCTTGGTATCCGCAGATTCAGTCGCAATCGAGGAGTGAGAGGTAAATTAGTTTCTTACCAGCAGCCTAAACAAGCTCCGAGCGGACTTACGACGACTTACAGCCACCGCCAGTTCACCGACCATCACAATCTACCATGATGCCATAGATGGGGTAATCATGATTCGAGCGTGAGTTCAATCTAATTGTGAAAGCTCTTGCACGCTTACAGTAGTTTCGGTGCTGTGGAATTGATGAAATCTACTATGTTGGCACTTATCAACCGAGAGAGGAAAACGACATTGGTCGATTTTGCTGGTGGGTTTTCTCCTAATTTCCGGTGCCATACAACTGGATTGACGAATAGTATACAATTGGGTACGAGCTATCATCTTGACCATCACTAGTATTGTGGTCAGCGCCACAGGATTCGTCTTAATCGGACAACACTTGACGTCTTCGAAAGCGGGTTTCATACTTTCTTTCGCTATGTCAGCATCGCATGGTGAGCTCTCTGGAGACTACTCTACTTTGAACTGATGCGTAGGTCTATTCGGGTTGTTGGAGCAGTACTCAGGATTGGAGAGGAATTTCGTTCATGCTGAGAGAGTGAATCAATGTGAGTTTACCCCCACTCTATACCCATCCACCTTGTCCTGATGTCACCCTGGTGCTGTTGTCTCCGACTTGCCCTATCGGAAGGATACGGCATAAAGTTTCGAGTAGGTTCCAAAACCTGGACGTGTCGCTTCATTTGTTGTGAACATGGGCTGATGGATCAGACGTTCAACTGCCAGAACAAGAACCTTTAGGGGGTCAAATCCCTCCTCAGACCTGGCCATCAGAAGGAAAGATCGAGATTCAAGAACTTTCCGTTCGATATGCTCCTGATCTTCCTGAGGTACTTCATGACGTTTCTCTTACTATAGAAGTAAGTTTTCCCTCAAAAAACCGTGTTTTCTTCCTTACGTCTCCTTTTGTTCCGCAAGTATTCTCTTCTTCACAAGCTTCATCTAGTCCCTCGAGCTTTCTCCCCCTGCCCAAGTATTTTCTCTCTTCTTTCGCCTCCTATTTCCTGGTGAAGTATGTTGACACAGTAGCCCGGTATGCGGGTCGGTTTGGTAGGTGCCACAGGCTCCGGAAAGTCGACTTTGGCGTTATCACTCTTTAGAGGTATCGAACCACACAACGGAAGAATCCTAGTGGATGGTCTAGGTAAGTTCATCAGGTATGACGAAGTAAGTGCTGATGATAGATATCGGGAATTTGGAATTGCACGAGTTGCGTAGGAGATTGAATATGGTGGTTCAGGATGGAACGCTTTCTTCGGGGACGTTGAGGGATGCTTTGGATATTAGTGGGGAGAAGGGTGCGTCCAACACGTTTCGTTTCACACCGTCATTTATGTTCTGATTGGCTCTCTACCCTGTCTCCCTGTCTTCCCCGCCCTCTCATGGTTCTACTCCATATCGGTCATCATGACGTTTGACTGTATTCTAATGCGTTCCCTCCCTCCCTCTGGAGCCTTCTCCGCGGCTCTCATTGGCCTCTGAACAGTCTCTGTGGGAGTACACAATGTGATTGACAGTGACTACTTGCTCCAGGACGACTCTCATCGTGACTGAATCAGGGGGGACGGATTTGACTGATACTCAGACGATCGTGAGATCTACGAGGCTTTGCGTCGGGTTCATCTCTTGCGTGAAACTACGGACAAGGATCTCTTACAAGACAACCCATTCGCCAACCTCGATACATTTGTCGCTTTAGGTGAGTTTCTGGGCCCTTGTGTCGTAACACTTCCCACAACCTCCCATTAATCCATCGTCCACTCGTCCCATCTACAAGTACTTCCCCGCCCGTCCTTCCTCGCCTTATTCCATCCTATCAAAGCCATAGCATGGAGATGCCTTACGACCCTTGCCGAATAGTCGGACATTCAGGCTGACTGAACAGAAGGCGCAAACTTCAGTCAAGGACAGAGACAATTGCTTTGTCTCGCAAAAGCGTTGTTGAAGAAGTCCAAGATTCTCGTGATGGATGAAGGTGGGTTTTGATCATCTACTCTATTTGTATTGACCTCATCACCCCTATGTGCTTCCCGTTCCAATACTCCGTCTCAGAGTATGGCCTGAGTGACATGAGGAGTATGACGGTGATTCGACCGGAGGGACTAAAACGCTGATGCGCAGCGACATCTTCCGTTGATTTTGAGTCAGTTAACGTTTCCTTATCCTGCTCAAAGCTGACATGTAAGAATGGACGCCAAGATTACCCAAACGATCAAGGAATGTTTCGCGGAAACGACGATGCTCGTCATTGCCCACAGGCTGGCGACTATCATGAATTACGACCGAGTGGCGGTACTAGACAAGGGTAGAGTTTTGGAGTATGGTCAGTGACTTGACATCCTACCTCCCTGCCCGACTTTAATTGGCACATCTCCAATCCCTCTTGGTCGCTTTCTTTCTCCAAGCGATCAATTTTCAGACCTTCAATGTCCACGGGCGTAACGCCGTCAATTCAACATGATTTCTATGACCGTGACTCCTTCTCATAGTTGAGCTGAGCAAGGAATTTCTTTAGCTGACATGTTAGGTCGTCCCACCGACTTGATGAGAGATTCCACTTCTGCATTCGCCGCTCTTTGCATGGCTCAAGGGGAAGAAGAGTTTTCTCGTCTATCAACAATGGCCAATTTGTGATCATTCTCATGTTTCAACTTGTAATCCATCATACCAATCTGTAATTGCTTATATCTGTTCACCATCCACCATCAATATACACACATGTACCTTACCATTTCTGTGCATTCACCTCAACGTTACGATTTATATACGATTTAGACCTGTAGATGATGTCATGATTTAACGTCTTCTCCTTACCATCAGCATTCTCACGATTCTAGGGCTCGACCTAGAACGGGCTTACCGGATAGAAATCTCGGCAAGAGTCGGCACTTATCGTGGGAATCGAGGATGTGAAAGGGGAAGAAGATAAAGGAAGATGTGCGGAGATGGCAGGGATGGAAACGGATTAATCAAAGGAAAGTGTAAGATCTTTTCAAAGTTTATTCACTCGTTCTCAGCACTGATACTTCTTACACTTACTAATCTTCTGCTAACTTACCCAATCAAGGTACTTTCATGAACAAAGCAGTGAGTGGATGTGAACTCCATTCATGGGTGATTTTCAGGTTGTTTATCGAACAAAATGGTCTGAATGGTTCTTTCACTTTTTCCTTGATCCCACATTTTCAACCAGTTGATTAATCCATCGTTCTACACCGTTACACTTAGCGTAAGTTCTCTCCACTGGATACAAGAGGAAAGAGAGAACTCTTACTAGATTCATCTCTTATTCTCAATTCTTCCGTCTCCCCACAAATCAGCAATCATCTTCCTCTCAATCTTCGTATTTTCATCGTGTCATCTTTTCCACTTCAATTTTCGAATTTCTTGATATCCCTATAGCGTAACTCAACGGTACAACATCCCGACTGTCGCGTCGAAATCCAAAAGTTAGACTAACAAATCACTCTTCCCACTTTAAATCACATCCCCCACTCCGATCATGTCCACCCCAGATCTCGAAGAAGGTAAAAAAGTATTGGACAAATTATCCCAGATCAAAGATAAAACGGAGAAAGAACAAGCTAAAGCAAACCTTACGGATCAAGAAAAAGCTGCTGTGAGAGCATATTCAGAAGCACAAGCAAAAGCAGCAAAAGCAGCCAAAGCAGCACAGAAAGCACAAGCAGCTAGCCAATCCGGGAGTAAAGACGAACCCGAGTCCCAGCCCAACACCGCTAGCACCCAACCTACCGAGCAACCGTCGACGGCTGGGACTCAGGAAAGTGGGACAAAAATGGATAGTAGAAGATCCAGTGTGGAGTCTAGCAGACCTGACACTGCCACGACGGATGGTACGACTGCTACTAATACTACCGAGGCGAGTACCAACACTCAGGCTAGTGCAACTACGAATGCTTCGGATGGAACGAAGAGAACCAGAACCTCGAGAGGGACAGCAACTGAACCACCTTCTTCTGCTGCACCTCCTTCTTCTGTACCCACGGCTTCGGCTGTTCCTTCACCCACTACGGCGAGAAGTTCCGCCACTAGTAGAAGAACGCCTACACCGACGAATGGTGATTTATGGGACAATGTGGAGAAGATGAAGAAAGAGGTGGACGAGGAGTTCAGAAAGGATGAAGAGATGAGAGAAAAGTATGGTTGGTTGAGATATGTGCGTTTTCCTTGTTGTTTCCCTTTGATTTTGTGTTTAGAATGTGTGGCTTGTTGTGATGAGTGTTATTGAGTGGGTGGGAGTTGTTGTTTCTGTTGGGTGTTGGGTGTTGGGTGTTGGGTGTTGGGTGTTGGGTGTTGTTGAGTGGTAGGAAATGTTCGTGCATGCTAGATGGGTGTGGTTGACTTGATTGATGAACTATTGGGGAGGCGGGATGGTGTAACGGTACTGGAAACACGACGACTAGGTCGCAGGTTGGGTCGAACTCGATGGAGGTCTCGTGGAAATCTAGGGGCTCTGGTGCTAATGGATCGTGTCTCCTCTGCAATCGATGTAGCCAAAGAATGATATTGAAGAATCAGCAAAGTTGGTACTTTGCTGATTGTACTATATACTGTCTACAGGTATCCGTCTCCTCTTCTCAGTCCTACTGCAAGCGTCCATGTACATACTCGGACAGGTGAAAAACCGCTTTGAGCAAACCCAGTGGGGAAAATCTCGAAAGGGGAAAACCCGTCCCTACCTACTGCAGCACTGCCTCCAACTCCCGCTTTCCTCTGTCCTAATCCGTCGAACTCGATAGAGTCCTCTCGATTCGTTGTTACCCCGTAACAAGTTTCCCCCCCTGTCTCAAGGATCCTCGCCGAGGATCCTGAACCCTGTAACCAGGTGATGCACATGGATTGTTCTTAGACACCTTTGGTGCGCCCTGACGTCACACCTGCGCTAGTGCGACGGTTGCCATGAAAACGCGTCACCCGCACGGACCTCCAATGTGATCGAGAAATTACTGACCAAGTTACCTCCCCGTCTTCTTTCTCTTCTTTCCTCTTCATTCTCTCTTTACCTCTTGTTCGTCGTTCTTTTTACTTATCTATCATCATCCATCCATATCTTACTCATATCTTAGAGATCCTTCCAACTCTGACCTGTCTGTGAGCATGTCTAAGCGTACTGTAAGCAATTCCCTTCGAATTCGATGTATATCCTCCTATCTCTCACTGGCTGACGAGATTAGTTGTCTCCTTCCACCTCCTCCCGTCAAACTCGAGCTTCCACCCAGGCATTCCTACCTGACGTCGACCCCGAACTTCTCATGCGTCAAACGAAAAGAATGAGAATTACTTCCCAAATTCCTGGTACTACCCAGACTTCCACGGTTGACGCTTCTCGAAGGGCTCTCGACACCATTAAGGATCGATATCAATCCGGTCCTTCTCGCGATCAACAATCGTCCCATCTTGATGACCAGGTCATCGAGCAATATTTCGACTTCGAAGGGGGTGCTGGGCCATCTACCGTCGTCGAAAATGAAAATTCTCCCGGTAAGCAACCCACTGGTCCTCCTTCTGAGGCTTCCGACGAACTTGTGGAGGTTCCCGAAGAACTTGGTGACATCTTTCACGCCCCTCGCAAGGTTACCGTCAACCAGGAACTGGTTAAGTTGCTCGAGGATCGAAAAGACTCCGAAATCGGTGAGAATTCCACCGAGTTCTGTTCGCTTCTGACTTGTTAGCTACCCTTTGGGCCAGCATGACCTTCCCCTCTGTTCGTCTCGCGTTGAAGAACGAAGCTCTGGACCGTTTCCGCGAAACCAACGCCATCAAGCCCACTGTAAAGTGGTTTAAGAACGCTGTAAGTCTCGAATTCTTTCAAGTTTTATCGATTCTAATCATTAGCTCGATCGTTTGGCCCAAGGTTGGCGCCTCCGCAACAAAAATGGTGCTGTTGTTCGGCTAGAGGGTGAGCTCTGTACCGATTGTCAACGTCGTCTCGATGGTGGCGAAGACTTTCGTGTTGGTTGTATTGGCCCTCGTAAGTTCTTGCTGCGACTCGTTCAATGTTGATGCAATTCAGTCGGTGGTGTGTGCGGTGAATGCTCTGCTAAGGGTACTTCAAAATGTTCGGTGAAGACCAACAACCCTGAGTCCAAATTCCGTGAGGTACCTGTCTATTTCCTTCGAACTTGGTCGATGTTGATGTATAGGGTATTGTTGTGGGAGCAAGAACGGTCACTTCCAAGGTTACTTTTGTCCTGGAGCACGAGCTTTGTGCGGCTTCGGTCCGCTATCGATCCCTTCCTGCCCATGATCAACCCGCCTGTCTGACCCAACTTTCGGGTTACATCCATCTCTTTACCTCCCTTCTCCTTCCTCTCCCCTCTCAACATCTGGATCTTTACAAATCCCTTCATCTTATTTCCGCCAACTATGCTCCTCCTTCCGCCGATGAAACTCTGGATCATCTTACTTCTACTGGTGATCCTACAGGATTGAGTTCCTCTCAGCCAATCGCTGGTCCCTCCTCTTCTCCCCATACTCCTCTCCCTCGCAATGTCATTCGTATTCCCGCTTCGGCCCGTCGTCCCCGAGCCAATTCTACCACCTCCAACTTTTAGTGTGTTTATATCTCTCTATTTGTAGCTATATTTCCTGTGTATGCATTTATTTCTGACCCAGTTTTGTTGATCTTGATCGAATTCTCACTTTCTTCTGGGGTCCCTCTTCCTTTTTTCCAAAAATTCACCAAAAACGGCCAACTCTTCCACATTTTCTCGTGGTTCCCAGTCATAGGCCGCATTTCCTGTGTATCCTAACCATTTTACCTTGAATTCTTCCTTTCCTCGTCGAATTCTGCTGTCCACGATTGCTTCCACATGGAATTCATCCTGGCCGTTAATTACTACAGGCGGTGGGGGTGGTATCTGTCGACCTGGTATCATATCCTTGGGATATGGTTCCAACAGCGTGACATTGAAGACATTGTGCACCTTCATTGCTGGAGGTAGATCTAATTCGAAAGCATTTTTTCCAACTTTCCTTATGATCTTGAATGGGCCAATGTATTTTGCTTCTAGTTTTCGACTGGGTCGTTCCGTCGTAAGATACTTTGTACTTAGTAGTACCTGTTCTCCCTTTCTGAATTCTTCTGGTATGCTCTTGTGTCTCCTGTTGTAGTACTCTGCACTAATTTCATTCGCCATCCTGACCTGTTCTTGAACAGTCGCATGCAACTCTCCCATATCTCTCCATTTCTTCTCCAACTTGTTTGACTTTGATCGAATATCGTGCGAATGGATGTCGTAGTGTGGCACATAGCCGTAACAAGCTTCAAAAGGACACAGACCGTGGCTACTATGTGGCGAACAGTTATAAGCGAACTCAGCAATTGGTAGAAGTTGATCCCAATTGTCCATGTTGTAGTTTACATACATTCCAAGCAGGATTTCCATCTGTTGATTTACTCGCTCAGTCTGTCCATCTGTTTGAGGGTGATACGCAGTCGAATATAAGTTCTTTATTCCCAAGAACTGACATATTTCCTTCCAAATTTCCGCTGTAAACTGAGTTCCCCTATCTGATACAATTGTTCGAGGTACTCCATGTTTTGAAAAGATCTCCTTGATGTAGATGTCGGCCACTTTGTTCGCTGTTAGTCCAGTTGTACATGGAATGAATCTAGCCATCTTGGTTAGTCGATCGACTATCACTAGTATCGCGTCGAACTCGGTCGATTTTGGCAGGGGTCCCACCATATCCATAGAGATATCTGTCCAGGGGAGTGTGGGTACTGGTAAAGAGACTAGATGTCCATACGGCTGATGTCGATGAGTCTTATGTCGGTTACAGATCTCGCATCCTTTTACGTATTTGGCAATATATTCGTCCAAATGTGGCCAGTAATAGTCCTCTTTGACCATGGTGATAGTTTTGTCTCTTCCTGGATGACCTACTAGTATCGAATCGTGTCTTGCTTTCATTACTTCTAACCTTGCTTGTCCCTCTGGTATGACTACTCTATTCTTGTACAAGAGCAATCCGCTTTGCTAATCTGTGTCTTCTGTGTGTCCTGTGTGCTATGTGTCTGTGTGTCCTGTGTACTATGTGTCTGTGTGTCCTGTGTACTATGTGTCTGTGTCAATTGCAGTCCTAGTCGTCGTATGTTTGCTATGTCTTCTGAGTCTTTGAGTCCGTTTTTGATGAGTCCAAATAATGAGTCTTCTCGGATTGCTCCTCTTACTATGTGTCGGGTTTCTGAGTCTATCGAATTCGATCCATGTTTCTCGTATGTGGGTAGTAATTGTAGCCAGTTACCTTTGTTCAGATCTGGGTCCTTACTACTTCCTTTTCCCGGGTGATAATCCCCTCGTCTTGTTAAAGCATCTGCTCCCCCATTTTTGCTACCTGGTCGATAAGTGATCTCTATGTTGAAGTCTCCTAAGATTTCCAGCCACCTCATTTGTCTTCGATTCAGTTGTCGCTTACTTTGGAAGTACTCCAGGTTCTTGTGATCCGTAATGACTTTTATGACATCACTACTGTTCGCTAAGTAAGGTCTCCATGCTACCAAGCAGTCCACAATGGCTAGTAGTTCCTTCTCTCCCACTGTGTAGTTTAATTCGCAGGGTGTCATTGCTCGAGACCAATACGCAACCGGATGAAGTTCCGTGGTCCCTTTTATCGATGGATGAGGGAACCTTTGGGACGCTATTGCACCTATCGCACAGTCAGATCCATCGGTTTCGATCCAGGTTGGTCGGGTTCTATCGAAATGTCGAAGTACCGGTGCTGTCGTGAAAGTTTTCTTCAAATTTTCAAAAGCTTTTTGACATTCCTCTGTCCAATTCCAAGCCTGATCCTTCCTGGTCAGACGGGTAAGAGGACCCACAATATGTGAGAATCCTTTGATGAACCGTCGATAGAAATTGGCAAATCCTAGAAAAACCTGAGTATCTCGGACTGTCATTGGTTCTCCCCATTCTAGAATGGCTTTCACCTTGTCTTGATCCATTTCGATCCGTTCGTGTCCGATTACATACCCCAGAAACTTCACTTCGTCGCAACTCCATTCACACTTCCTCGGGCTAACAACCAAGTCGTTTTCAAGTAATCGGTCCAATACCTTTTGGACAATTATTTGATGGTTTTCGATCGTGTCTGAGTATACCGTGATGTCGTCTATGTAAACTACCACTCCTTCATCTAACAGGTCGTGGAACATATCCTGCAGGAAGTTTTGAAAGGTGGCTGGTGCGTTGCATAATCCATCCCGTAGAACAGTGCTTTCAAAACTACCGTATCGTGTTCGTAGAGCAGCTTTATGTTCATCTCCTTCTTTTATTCGAACTAACTGATAGGCCCCTTTCAGGTCGAGTTTGGTAAACACCTTTCCCAATTGAAGTCGATCGAGTAAGGTCGAGATAAGTGGCATTGGGTACGAATCCTTGATGGTTACCTTGTTAAGTGCCCGGTAATCTGTAACTACTCGATAGGGAATGACTCCTTTCTTGGGGACCAGGAATACTGGGGACCCATAGGGCGATTTACTTCTTCGCAGATGTCCACTAGTCAGTCCATCATTGATCCACTGCTTCAGGAAAGCATCCCCATGCTCGTCCAGTTGGTAGATTGGTCCTGGTTTCAGTTCAGCCCCTGATACTAATTCGATTTCGTGGTCACATTCTCTTCTTGGTGGTAGTCTTCTTGCTCTTTCTACCTTGAATAATTCGAGGTACTGGTGCCATTGTGTCGGTATGATTTGTCGTAGTTCCTCCTCACTCATTTCGTCTTCCCCTTTCTCCAGTGTTGCTCCTCTTATTAATCCTTCTTCTAATCTTGGGTATTTCCAACCAGTATCTCGTTCAATTCCGTCGAATTCGATCAGTCCCTTTCCACAATCGATCCTTGCCCTAAACTGTCTCAAGAAATCTAGTCCTACTAGTACTTCTGGTCCTTCGTATGCCATAACATCCAGTCGAGTTGCAATCCTGAGTCCTTTTCCTAGATCTAATTCTGCTTCTACATATTCGGTCACTAAGGTCGCGGTAGTTCCATCCAGGAACCTAATTTTTCGTGGTACCTGATATTGTTTCTTTGGGAATAGATGGTATAATGGACAGGCCGGCTGCACATACCTTCCTGTAGCCCCGGTATCGATTAACATTCCAATCTGTAGGGTATCTTTCTTTGTTTGTATTTTTATATATATTATGGCCGAGTCATTACTGAGATCTATTGGTATTTGAATTTTCTGCGATCCGGGCAGATCCTGGCCGCAAGTGGTCGCATCACTTAGGCCAGGTAGTCGTTTCCCTCTTCTTCAAAGGTCACCGCCATTCCTCGAACTAATGGCCCTTTGGATCCAGTTGGGATCGAGTTCGATCCACTAGGAATCGGTGAGCTATGCGGGTTTGGGGATCCCCTAATGTTGTTTCTCGTATTTCCTCCATTTGGACAGTTGTTGGCGTAATGTTCTGGACTTCTACATTTGAGACAACGTCGGTTCTCCCTCCTCCAAGTCATTTCGTTCTCGCTGAGACGTCCTCCGTCCTCTGTCCAAGTGACCGGAGGGTCATTTGGTAGACCATGATTCATCATCCCTGGTTTTCCACCGGGCAAGGGTCCTCTACCAGTCGATTGTGAGTGGCGCTCTACCGGGTTGGGCAAACTAGTATCCAATCGCATCGAATTCGATCGAGGGGGGAGCCAGGTCGTCTCATGTTTGCGTCTAGCAGCCCATCGATTCGCTGCAATCATCGTTTCAGCCATCCGTTGGTTCTCCTCAGTCCCTATCACATGCTGTTTGAAATAGATCCAGTCCGATTTGGTTCGAGGGTCGGTGTTATTTACCACTACCACCTTCAGTAGCTCTTCCTTCAGGCCCTGTATGGCTGAGGCGATTTTCATTGCATCTGGTACCTTTCCAAGGTGTGTGGACCAAAGTTCAAAGTTGGCAAAATACTCGGCGGCCGTATCCGTCTGTCTTAACTCCTGCAATTTCCTCATAGCCGTACCTGCCATGTTACTGTCTCCAAATTGAGTTCGTAAATGCTGGATGAATTTGTCGTAGCTCTCTAGCCATTCGGTCGAATTCCATATACTTGGATTGGTTATGGCCGGGGTTATAAGCATTTGAGGGGTGCCTCGAAGATACCCGTACATGAACAGGATCTTTCTGCGATCGGTGGCGTACTCTGCCCCTTTGAATTCGAAGTTCATGTGACATGCTGCAAGGAAGTTGTCCAATTCTCCTCGTTCTCCACTGAAGGTAGGTGGATCCGCACACCTGGTTCTTCCTGTTCGTTCGTTGTTGGTAAGTTTTGGCTCCAAACACGGCTTGTTTTCTTCGACTTCGATCAAACTTGCCCCTTTCGATGTGAGTATCTGTTGGTTCTGTCGGTCAGCTTTCATCGTAGCCAGTTCTTCCCTTAATGCATTTTGTTCTTTCTGTTGCATCGTCATAATGGCTAACAATTGTGACAACTGCTGCGATAATTCATTTAGCGGATCTGGGGTAGTGGTAGTAGAAGTGAGATCATGTGAAATGGTACTTCTCGAAGAACTTGTTGGTATTTCTTCCTCTGGGACCAGCCCTTGTTCCAACTCCTCTTTTTCTGGTATCATTTTCCGCGCTTTCCCTCTGGTGAGCATACAGTACTCTCCGATTCGACCCAAGGTGCGTAAGGCTGATTCTTCAACTTGTAACGGTACTGGAAACACGACGACTAGGTCGCAGGTTGGGTCGAACTTGATGGAGGTCTCGTGGAAATCTAGGGGCTCTGGTGCTAATGGATCGTGTCTCCTCTGCAATCGATGTAGCCAAAGAATGATATTGAAGAATCAGCAAAGTTGGTACTTTGCTGATTGTACTATATACTGTCTACAGGTATCCGTCTCCTCTTCTCAGTCCTACTGCAAGCGTCCATGTACATACTCGGACAGGTGAAAAACCGCTTTGAGCAAACCCAGTGGGGAAAATCTCGAAAGGGGAAAACCCGTCCCTACCTACTGCAGCACTGCCTCCAACTCCCGCTTTCCTCTGTCCTAATCCGTCGAACTCGATAGAGTCCTCTCGATTCGTTGTTACCCCGTAACAAGTTTCCCCCCCTGTCTCAAGGATCCTCGCCGAGGATCCTGAACCCTGTAACCAGGTGATGCACATGGATTGTTCTTAGACACCTTTGGTGCGCATTGAGATCTTGTAGAGATACCCTGTCTCATGAGGTTCTCGGTGGCTTGTGGCTTGAGAATGCGAGTAAATGAGATCAGCTCTTGGCATGATATGGGTTACGACCCTAGGACGTTATCCGGGTCGTAACAGTGGGCGCCTAAGAAACACACTCTGAACCCCCCGAAAGATTAGAGCTCATCCAGGTAGCATAGGAGAGTTTCAATTATCAAAGGATCACATTTCATGGATCCTTTATTTGTGTTTCTTTTCATGAATTCAACCTTTGATGAAGAGATCTCTTTTGGGGGCTTCCGGGATGATTCAGAGCCTTCTGTAAGGTCGTTTGAAATGCTGTTTTTGATACAGGGTTTCCTCTGGGTTTCTGTCACAAACTACGTCGTGACACCTCGATTATTCCACCAACAATGACCCTCCTTTGACCATCAAAACCCCCATCACGACTTAACCTCTTTACTCTACACGTAACTCAGGACATCTGAGACCAAGTACGGCGAAGTTAGAGGAAGTTAGGCTAGGTAGGGACAATGGGAGCAGAAGTACGGCGAAGTTAGACGGAGTTAGGCTAGGTAGGGACAATGGGAGCAGAAGTGCGGCGATGTTAGGCGGAGTTAGTCGAAGGAGGAAGAGGATGACCGGGGTTCGGGGAAGTTGGACGAAGTGCATTGAAGTACGTCAAAGCGCGAGAGGGTTGGATGAACGTCTAGGAGAAATAGATAATATTAGTTGAGAAGATCGCTGAAGTTCTTCAGCGATCCTTGATTGTTGTCAGTAGTAACAGACAGACAGAGATAGCTATATACAATCGAGATACATCGCCATCAGTAGAACAAAGCCCCAGTTAGAGTAACTACGCCGAAGTACGCCGTAGTTACACTCCTTTTGATGTCTGCGCCCTCCTGGTTGGGTGAGACATCGACTTAGAAGCGTCAAGTTAGGCGAGGTTCGTCGACCGTCGGTCTACTAGAAGATAGTTGTTCGACAGTCGTGACAGTTTCCCCCCAGGAAGTAGGAGAGGAGAGGAAGGAGTTTGAGGCTCAGTTTGGGGTGTTTTGTCTATAAATAGTGGTTCTAGCTCTCTGTTTGTTTCTCTGTCTCTCTGATCAATTGTCATCTTTGATTTCAACTCTCTACTCTAACTTACTGTTGCCTTTAAGACTGTTGAGACACACCATTGCGGCTTCATCATCATCAGTCGTATATTCGTGACAGTCCCCATGCTTCAGCTGCCCGTACACCTTAATCTCCCGCTATACTTTGCCGTAGTTGGTCTCAGATGTCCTGAGTTAGGTGTAGAGTGAAGAGGTTAAGACATGATGGGGGTTTTGATGGTCAAAGGAGGGTCGTTGCTGGTGGGATAATTGAGGTGTCAGGACATACTTTGTGACAGGAGTTTGGTGATGATGAAAGGAGGTTTGACAATGGTGGTTGTCAGGGGATGTTACAATATGTTTGATCAGGGATTTCAGACTCTAGTCAAAAAGTCCCTGCATGTAGTCAGCACATTATTCAAGGCTTCAAGTTATTTCCTTCAAATGATGCATCTTCCTCTGTCTGATCTACATACAAAGAGTGTCTAAGCACTAGTCAGTTGCAAGACTGTGTCTCTTGAGGCCGCAGAGCCGTCTGGATCGCGGTACTGTTTGGCCATGTAGATCTCTGGTAGAGACATACCCTGACGATAGGAGGGAGAGTCTTGGAGATACTTCCTTAACCCATTCTTCATAGCTGTTTGCACTGGCTCACTGAAGCTGTGATAATATTGCCAGACAGTAAAACCATCCTTAACATGATTCTTGTCAACAAAGCTCTCAAGGTCAACCATTGCTTTACTACCACGAGGAACCATGAATTTTGGCCAAGCCCTCTGTGTTGAAGTAAACGACATCTCCGTCCCTGTTGCAATGAGCTGCAACGGGGCTTGGTAATACTCAGCAATCCGCTGTTTCCAAGGAAAAGAATCATTTCCTGTCTGTGATTTATGGACCAAGGAGAGTTCATTTGCTTCTGCTGTAGTGATTGTGGATGGAGGCTGTGTTGGATGATCTATGTATCCAATGGATACTGTCACGCGGCGCCGCGTGACATCATCCTTTTCCCATCAAACAAAGTTCCTTTGGACATCAGTTCGACATCAACGACCCAGTTCTCATGAACTTCATCACCCACGAGGGTATTAGGAGGCTAACTTCGTCGAGGGCGAAGTTAGTCATGTAGGAAGTTAGGGAGATACGAAGTTAGGGAGATACGAAGTTAGGAAGATACGAAGTTAGGGAGGCACGAACTTCGTCGGGGACGAAGTTCGTGAGGTACGAAGCTCGGGACTTCGGTTGAACGAAGTTCTGCGTTGACGAAGTTGGGGAAGGACGAAGTACTTAAGGCCGAAGTTCCCAGAGATCTTTGACAATCTCTGGTTGTTGTCTTAGTGATAGAAGTTAGTAAAGTACGAAGTTATTACACCCAGAAGTTATTGTCACCTAGTTCATATCTCGAACAACGAAGTTGATAAAGGTCAAAGCCCACGAAGTTAGTGGCCGTTGGTCGTAGGAAGTTAACGAAGAAACAACCTTGTGACAGATACTTCAAGCTCCATATACCTGTCATAATCTTGAGACAGGTCTGGGTAAGCTCCAATAACGATCAATGAGGGGTGGATCTGTGCCTGAGTGTCTTCCTTGACAGCAACAGAATCCGCCACAACCACTTCAGTTGACATGACAGATGGGTCATCCGGCAGCCCCTCACTCAGGGTGGAACCAGAGGCTGATAAGTTCATTGTGCCAGGAAAAAGTGGTCTCAGGAAGAATTGGTCAAGAGTTGTTTATGAGAAGAGAAGTACCCTCCTTCTTCAGCTTCTTATACACAAACAACCAGAGCTCAGAAGGCATCATTGTCTCACCGCCCCAACCTCACATAATGGAGGATGTGGAGATTGCGGTGTAATCGGGTCAAAACGTGGGAAACGACACTGCCCCATCGAACGAGTTTGAAATGACGTCTATCAAGTAACATAATGGATGTCTTCAAGAAGCGGATAAACGTCTTGTCAACATGACGATGAAGGGATTAGAATCTGTGGGAAGATTAGGTGAATCACGGGAAAGGAGAGAGGAGAGGATTTGTTGATTCGTGGGTTCATAAGCAGTGTAAATCGATGACGTCAAGTCGGAAGGGTCGTCAAGAAGGGAGATGAGAGAAGCAATGCAGGATATGTATGGGGTTTAGATCTCTCGTCACCATTGGTATCTCGCTTGTAAGATTAAATCCTAGTTTGAACAGTGTGAGAAATTTGAGTAACTGAGGCAAGAAACGTCATGAATATGAAGGAGAAGGCAAGGCAAAAAAGTAGGAATCATTGATATGACCCACACGCACAAATAATCCAATGCACACGAATACTGATGGTTCTATATTGTTCCTCGCACTGCATTTGAGGTTCCGACCCTTGACCGATCCATCCCATTTGTTGAACTTCTGCACTTGCTGTCCCTGCGTCCTCATCGATACGAGGGTAGATGATCATATAGAACGGTGAAGAGAAGAGGTAGTGAATCATGCTGCCTGTCGAGCTAGTGAAGAATGACGAGTAATGTGTGACGAGATAAGAAGAGGTAATCGTTGAAGAGAGGGGGGTGAAAAGTAAGCTCCGGATGAAGATGTATCGTTCACGCCCACCGACCGAGCAAAGCCATAAGTCCCGAACCGAGGAGGATACACACGAAGATGTATGTCAATCTGAGGTTGGAAGACTTCATCATTCTTGGGTTGAATAGAATTTCGTGACCGAGTAATTCAACGAGACCTGATGGTCAGTACGTGCCATTGACTTCATTGGACCGCAGGCTCCAGAAGAGAGTTACGTGTGCTAAGAGATTGAGTGAAGGGGTGAAGAAAGTGCTGAAGGGGGATCAAAGGATACTCCGAGTCGATAGAGGAGTGTTGTCGGCGGCCGGAACGTGATATAGGCGTAGAGAAATGCGGAGGTGAAGGAAGAGGTCGAGGCGAAACAAAAGGACGTGAACGTGAAGAAAGACGCCGAATTAAAGAAAGAGGTGGAGGCAGAAAAGGGGTGAAGGAGATGAAAGAGGAGAAAGTGACCAAAGTGGTAAAGTAGAAGATGAAGTAGGATTGAAAATGGTGTAGTGCAGAGGAGAAGAGATTTGTATAGGAGGAAAGTTAGTGTGTTCAAAAATACTCACCAGTATACAACAAGATTCCCGCTGACAAAGCATCTAATATCCCCGAAGTGATATTCGCAGCTATTCCATTCCCATTATAACTTTCCCTCACGCCCAATCCCACTGCGACACCGATGGGTGTACATATAGAATACAAAACCGCAGCTGCGTATCGTGACCAAGCGACTGATCGGGGGAGGATAAGCGCTGATAAACGTGATCCCAGACCCAAACCTTCGAACATTTCTACGAGTCAGCTGAGTGGTTCAATTTCATCAAGATGAAGCTCGTCTTTATTCACTTGTGCATGTTAAGAGAACGAGGAGCAAAGAAGGAATTTTAAAAACGCACGGATTGAGGGGATTAGTCTATGGACGATATGCAGATGATGATGATAAGGTTGAGGTTGGCTGAGTGTAACTTACGATGGAAAATGATGACAATGAAAAGAATCGTGAATTGATCATTGACAGCTAAAGTCAAACCGATAATGATCGAATGTAAAATAACACCAAATTCCAATACCGCGACAGCTATCAATTGAGCCACAGCTTCGCTCTTCGATGCCATCTGGTTTACGGTATCTGATTCGGATGACGTCTCTGTCGACAAACCATTCTCCACGTCGAGGTTTTTCTCCACACGAGGAGAGTTTATTTTGACGTTTTGAGGAGATGTGGAATGTTCGTGAATGTTAGAAGGATGAGTGTGGAATTCGTCATGTGGACCAGAGGTGTCTACGTTACTTGGGGGTTCGTGAACGTGAGAATGAGCGTGAGCGTCAGAGTCGTCGTCCATGTGAGCGCCTTGAGGTTAGTGGGGTAATGAGCAAAATTTGAGGATGACTGACTGTATTGTATATTGAGCTTGGCCAGTTTGGCAGAACCGATACGATAAGCGGCTACTTCTGCGAAGAAAATGCAGTACACAGCGAGCATTGCGAATGCCGGTGCCCAGTCCTGTGTGTTAGTGTGAGTTGGGGATGGATAGATGGTACGCTTGATTCGCATGTGGGGCAGAGGGCCAAGCAGCGAGCCGACGAGACGAGTATGACTCGAACGGGGGTACGATAAAAGCCATTAAGTAGGAATTGAATGAGACGGACGAACATGAGAAACGGGAGAGTCGGAGTACGGTAGCCAGCAGGTGTCACGACGTCAAGTGGGAGCGTAATAGATAGACGAATTTGCAAAATCAGGGCGGTGGGGCTTGAAGCATCAAGGAATACTTCCACTCACATATTCCGTCCAAGTCCCAGACAGACATTCACTACCCAGTTCATCGAAAGCCGGTGCTAGTAAATGTATGAAAGCCGTGGCTATGATGACGCCGCTCCCGAAGAACTTTGCGAATCTGGGGTTAGTGGGGTCGCGACATGTCGTGGCATAAAAATTAAAGACATGAGCATGAGCGAGATGGTGACATTCAACGTGATGACGTGAGCATGCTCAGGTTGATGGCATTTGCAGGATTTAGATGAAATCGACTCACTCAAACGCCCATCGGGGTACGAAACTTGATGATCTTAAAAAGATCGGTAAACAAGTTCCGATCAATGAAGTTACCTCAATGTCAGCGATATGTTGACGTGATCCCACAATCAGATTTTGGGGCATATAACACCATCGAAAAAGAGGCAGATTGTAGAGTTATAGCGAAAATACGAAATGACCAGAGGATTGTAAGTTTATAGCAAGAAAACCGAGTCAAAAAACCGTGTAGGGTTAAAATGAGAACGGAAGGTGAGAGATTTCAGTTGTAGCACAATAACGAAAAGTTAACATCGTGTGTGGGGAGATATAAAGTAGAATAAAGGTGACGAATTTATATAAGTGATAATAAATGATGGCGATTCGCCGAAGAAGATAAGTGTAAAGAGATAAGTGAGACTCACAAGGATGATGAAAATACTTCCTATCCGTAACCCAGTTCTGGTGGTACCGTTATCAGCCGAACAATCGTCTGACATTTTGAGTCTATCTTAGGTTGAGTTGTGTCGTTGTGTTCTCGGGTTGTCGTGTGGATATGAAGATTGTTCAGAGATTTGATAAGTGATTAGTTGAAGATGAACCGGTAGGAAGAGGATCTCTGGTCGATTTGATATATATCGAATCAATCTGAGTGATATGGATATGGTACGTGTTCGAAAAGCTGTGAAGAGGAGATTCCTTTGCTAACCAATGACCAAATCCTCAATGACCAAATCCTCAATTTCCAACTTTCCAACTTTCCTACCAACACTTCCACTCTTAACCTCTATGCCTAATCGGAGGAGAGGAAGAGAAAAAAGAGTACTTTGCGGATCTTGGTGGATCTTGGTGGCCCAGTGGCTTGATCAAAAACCTCGTAATCCTCAAAAACCTCGAAGAACACTTTAACCGGGATGGTGGTGATCAGTGCCAGATTGACCGTAGTACTATACCTGTTGATCTATCCAGCTTCTATGATCTATGCCGTAAGATCTTCAGGTTCAAATACTTCAGATTGAGGAGACGGTAAGGTGGGGAGAGCTGAGCTGGACTGAGGAGAGATAGATGGCTGATGGGTTGGTTTATGATAGTCAGTACTGGAATTGAAGATCTGTGGATCTGTGTTTGTGGAGTTGTGGATCGAGTGATTCCTTGATTTGTCTCTTGAATTCTTCAGGGAAAGAAAGTCCTTAAAGCCCCGGGAGAAATGTATGTAGATCTATTGATGGCACTTTATCTCAAGATGAACCAAGAGTGATGGAGATGGATATGAATATGGGACTCTAGGCGTGAGATGAGAGCAGTAGAGTAGTAGGATAAGAAAGAGAGATAAGTAAGCTGTACTGTATGTTGTTGGAAGAATGATCAATCTACTAGAAGGGTCAAAGGAGCGTGACGAATATGAATAAATTGTATGAGGACCTCAACGGTCATGAAATAACGTGACGACCGGCAATGTGGCGGAATTCGGAGCCATTTCATTGGTCAGTCAGTCAGTCACGCTCATCTTCTTCTTGCCCATAGTCTATGTATGTATAATCTACCTACCTACCAAGCTACCAAGCGACAAGCGACAAGCGACAAGCGACAAGCGACAAGAGATATATGATTCATTGTTTGCATCTACACTCAACCCTCTACCAAACAATCAAAGCATTTACACTTTATTCAAAAACCTGCACATCACACATCACAAGAAAAACAAACTTCATCATTCCAAACGACCCTTCCTCCCTTCCGCTCTGAACCATACGAATATGTATACCCACATTCCCCGACGTCACTGACCCCAAAACCTCACCTCAACCTCCCAATCTATCTTCCAACCTCTTCAACCTCTCTTTCAAATCTCTCAATTCTTTCTTATCCAAACTCTCAGCTCTTTCAACTTCATACCTCACCATAGTTTGTAAATTCTCCGCACTAGCTTGTAAACTTTTCAATAAACCGTTCGCTTGTTCCGCCGTACCTTGAATATCCGTAGCTGCTTTCACCTGAGTTTTGAAGGATGTTTCAAACCTTTTATTCAATTCCATTAGAGTATGTTTAAGATGTTCAGTTTGGTTTAAAGCTTCGTATAATCTAACAAAAGGTTCTAAAAATTCGTTTCTTCCCGGTGAAACTGACATTGAAATAGAATTTGTAGAATTGGATGGTCTATGAATTTGAGATTGAGAGGTATTGTGTGGAATACGATTTTCTCCATATGATAAATGAGGTAAATGACGATAATATTGAGAAGAAGTATTATGACGAAGATGATCTTCTTCTTGATCTTGATCTTGTATAGGTGTAGGAGGTAAACGTATAGGTTGAGTCGATGAACCTGCTTGATTGATTTGATTGGATTGACTGACTTTGTTGAGATGATTGGTATGAGTCGCGTGGTTCGAATGACTGGTATGACTGATTTGGTTTGGATGATTGGCGAGAGTGGAATGATTGGGATGGTTGGAATGATTCGATTGGATGGAAGGATAACCAGAACGGGAACCCATCCTTGTATCCTCAGGCGAATAAGGATTCAAAGAAGGAAGTATATGAGGGGGGATAGCGGTTTGACTACCAGAAGGTTGTTGTTCTCTGGGTGGGTTTTGTTGAGCTGACAACGGATGATTATTCAATGGTGCGCTTTTACTCGCTGGATAAACAACATTATCACCAGAATTCGTGACTATACTCATTCTTTCAACTTTATCTCTTGTTTTTTCTCTTCTTTTCCCAACCGATGGTTTTTCAGATTTAGGATGCCAATCTTTAAAAGTCAGTTCGCGAGGTGGAGCAGGTGTGTTGTTGAGATTACCACTCATGGAAGTCCCATTGGCGGCGGCGGTTTCACGTTGACGTTGAGCTATAAGAGCTTCTTGTTGTTGTTTTATACTTAATGTGTTGCGGACCTGGATGTTAGTTGGACTGCAACCTACTATCATCTTCATCGATGTGAACTCTCCCAGGACCCGTGGGAGGGACGTTGAGTGACGTGGCAACGAGAGAGAGAGAGAGAGAGAGAGAGAGAGAGAGAGAGAGAGAGAGAGAGAGAGAGAGAGAGTGAGAGAGAGTGAGAGTGTGTTTGTGTGTGTGTGTCGGGTGGAATAGAAAATGACGAATAGTCGGAAATGAACAATCAAGCAAGTAAGAACATTGTCTTCACTCACAGTTCTCAACTGCTCTTCATCAATAGACTTGAAATCAAATCCCATAACCACAGGAGAAGGTATAGGTCCTTCACCATCACCTCTTCTCATTTCCCTACTAGCGGCAAATCCAATAGGTGTGATAGCTGTCAATCCCATTCTGTTCTTTCCCGTCAAACGAGTATGAGTAGTTCCAGGCGAAGTGGGTGAATCTCCCGTAACGTTCATTCCCACTTTATTTTTCCCTCCCAATCGAGTAGTATGTGTATGTGTATGTGTAGTTCCAGGTGAAGTAGGTGAATCTCCTGATGATTGAATAGAAACCCTAGTACGTGTCGTCAACCTATTTGAAAAAAGTTGAGAAGGTGATATTGGTGATTCTTCCCTTGAAAGGTTTTTACGAGTTCTACGTCTTTTAGTTTGAGGACTGGGAGAAGGTTCTGGTTGTCTATGTGGGAGGACTGGTGGATGACTGGGATTCGAATTTGAGTTGACGTCATTGATTGGTGTGGGATGAGAGTGGGGGATGACCGGATGTGTGATGTGTGGGGAAAGACGTTGTTGATGAGTGAGATGTTGTGGGGGGGATGGTGAGTGGGACGGATGTCCAGGAGGGGATGGTCGGTGAGTGACATGTCGAGGAGGGGACGATTTGAATTGTGAAGCATCACATGATGTCTGAGCTTGATGAACATGAGGTTGATCAGGTAAGTTGTTACGTGATGTTAAAGAATGTTTTCGAGTGGGAGGTGGAGAAGGGTAAATAGGAATAATGTCAGCTATCATCTTTAATCAATCTTCTATCCTCTCCTCCTGATATTCTTCACTCCTTCACTCCTCCAAGTTAACACCTGCTCCTTCAGGTCGGTCACCTTTGTATTCGAGCAAAGATATTGACCACCTTGAACCAATTTATATATGTCTGTCGACTTTCAACAAACTCAGACTGATGGCGATTGTAGATAACTTCACACAGAACGAGTTCCAGATCACAGGGTCACCGGGTGTACGTTCAAATATCCGAATTAAAGATAACGTAACAAACGAAGATCCAGATGATATCAGAAATTTAGAAAGTAGATCATAAGACGATAAAAAGATGATTCGTCTGAAATAGAGACGAGAAGAAACCAAAGTGAGACGTCACGAATCTCAATGACACATTCCCCTCATGTGGAGATGTAACGTCGGGAAAATATCCGATCCTCCGAGTGGTGTGGAGTGGAGCGGGAGGGAGGGTAAACGAGGACGAGCGAAGGGAACAAAAAAGCATTGAAGGTATTAGGATGATACACAGGGGTTAGGGATTGGAATGTAAGCAGGGGTACTGAGGAGTTGAGAAGCAGGGGTAGAGGGGATGGTTTGAGGGTTGGGGGCGGTATGAGAAGTAAGCAGGGGCGGAGACGGTATGAGAAGTAGCAGAGGTCGGCAAGGAGTTGAAAAGATAATGTCAAGTATGAAAGGAACTTAATCATGTGATTATTCGTATCAAGGGGGGAAAAGAAGGCTAGCGGGGCGGGATATGTGATTTTGAAACTGCCGTAAATGTGTGAAGAGGGGTAATGTTTGATGGTGAGTAAGGAATGATGTATTGGGGGATAGGAAGGCGGGATATGGTTCGGTAGAAGGCGAATGATTGGTGTATGAGAAACCTTAAGACGACATATGTGTGAAGTGGAAGACTGATGACTCATACTTCGGGATACGTTGAAGGTTGGTCAACGGACTTATGTAGCGTGAAGTGGAACAAAAGGTGAGAAAGGTACATGCGAGGATGCTTCAGGAGAGTAAAGGGGAAAGGGATAGGTTACTTCAATGTCTCAAATCGACATCCTGGAATGTTCGACTCAAACGGCTTACTTGGGAAAGGAGGTGAGGTAAGAAGGCGTATGGTGGGGTGACGTAATTGACACGTGTGATGGGTATGAGAAAAGGAAGGATGGACGCAAGGACTGAGAAACGGGGAAAGACCTTTGAAGTGTATTGAGAAACCGTGTTGGTAGCTGTCGTAGTGGTCCATTCCGTCGAAAGCGGAACCATCGGGGGTTTGTCCAAATTGTCGTCCGATTCCACAAACTGACGAAAGAGACCAAGAATGAAAGGGGGATGGATCAGTTAGAGAATTGATATGGGACTCAGGAAGGAAAAGGAAAGTGAGAAACTCACCCGTCGTTATCGTCTCTCAAGTCTGTAGTCCTTTTTCTTCTCGACCTTACTGAAGAATCCCCTTCTCCTTCTCCATCATCTTCTTCATCTTCATAATCCTCTTCATCATCTTGTCCTCGTTTTCTTCCCTCGGAAATAGCTTCACCTTTCTCACCATCCACATATTCCAATTTGATTTTCCCAACGTCAGAAGACATATCACCCCGACCATCTTTCCCCGATCCATTCGTCGAATGATCACCACGACTATCAGAGTTGAATCCTGATTTACTAACATCCCCTCTACCTCCAGATCTCATATATTCTTCATCTTCCGAAATAGGTGGCGTTGCGCCAGGTAAAGGATCTCTTAGACTTGATGTCCTGTGATGGGAATAAGGAGGGGTAGGACGTGGGAGTGATAGTGGGGAGTGGGAATGAGAATGAGATAGTGGTGGACGTTGAGTGACGAGCATTGTGAGGAGAGTCAAACGTCAGATTGTCGATTGTCGATTGTCGATAGTTGGATATAAAGTATGAATGTGTCAAACGCAGTGAGTGATCAATGTTGAGAGTAACGAGTTAATTCCAATGGTAGCTTGAGGCAGTGTCGGATGTGAGACAAGGGCGTTGAAGGCGTGAGGTTTATTGATTCGAACAGACAGAAATAGATGGTCGATGAATGACAGAGTGGATTTGTAGATTTGTCGATGTGGATGGACGTTTGGATGAAAGAGTAAGATTAAGGATATGATGGTAGTAAAGTACCCCAAGATTTAAAGATACGTGTCAAAGGTGGATGAAAAATGTAGGATTGAACACGAGGCAAATGATGAAACGATACGACGGCCGAGGTTAAGTGTTTTGGTAAGATTTCGTCGAATCGTCGAAGGTTGATAATTGTGTCGAGTAATCCGAATATCCAATCATCCAATCATCCAAATGTTGAGAATAACCAAATATGTATACATCCAAACGTCCATGTAAAAGAGAGAAAGAAGACGAGGGGTAGTGTTGATAAAAAGGTTTATATCAAAGGGACAAAAGTCAGCTTTTTCGTCTTTTCGCCCCCTAAGTAATCCTTTGCAACATTTGACCCTTCAAAAGTATCCTTTGGTCTTTTAGTCACTTTTTTAGTTTCGGACCTGACTAGAGTACTTGGTATACGAGGGATTATGTATTCTGAATGACTGTTTGATACAAGTGTGTTCGTAGTTATATGGGTGTGACAGGATGGGTGAAGGGAGGAAGAACAATAAGCTAGAAAGCGAGTTTCGTATAATAACCGAGGACCGGTAAAGTAGGTGAAGTAGAACAAGGTGAATGAACAATAAGCCGGGAGAATCGGGAGGGAGGATAACAAAAGGTACAATAACGAAAATCCAACTATACGTCTAGTGTACAAGTGTATGGACTATGGGTTATGGAATGTTAGAGAGAGAAACAAAGTAAGTCACTCACGGATGAGATCTTAATGGTGAAATAGGAATCGTCCTTGACATTTCCACTTCTTCTTCCTTGTTTCCCCAATTCCCCAATTCCCCAATCTTCAATACTCTCTCTCTTCCCACCTTGCAATCTTTGTACGGATACTAATACTCCAGTGTTACTCTTTCCTGAGGACCTAGTTCTTACCTTCCCTCTTGACTCATTCAAATAAGTTACAAGAAACCGACCCCTTCCAAATGATCACTTACTATCCCGCCTGACCACCATGCACCATTCACCGAATCCTCTCAACCTATATTCGGAAGTTGGTAAAACAGGTCAGTGCGCTGCGTCGTTATGTTGACCGCTACTTTTACCTTTCTTTGATGCGAGGTATGGACAGATGTCGGATCAAAACTAGAACTAGAGTAGAGATTTTTCAGGGATCAGGGATCAGGCGAGTTGTATTCGGAAACTCGGAACGAATTTCTTTATTGTTTCATCTTTTCCCTTGCGCTGTCCTCAGCTGTCAGCTGTCAGCTGCTTACGTCACTCGGTTAATGCAACTACTGCATACGAGCACATAATCATCCTGAAGTCGTAGTCAGCACATTATGGTCATGACTGATGATGCCTTCAATGCGAGTACGAGTACGAGTGCTATACAGCACATACATAGATCACCTGACACTTACTTGTACTTAGGTCATACATGAGTCCATACCCCATTCTCACGTGATATTCCCTTGCTTCGTACATAGATCGTAGACTATTCCAACTGGTCTTTCAATGCGGATCATGGAACGTGGTGGATTCTGGAACGAACATGGTGCATGGAACATGATGCATGGTGGTTGGCGCATGGGGCGTGGTGATGGTTGATGAGAACTTGGTCATGGACCGAGCAACACCTTGAGGCTTGCAAACCACAACTCGACACGAATTCAAAAGATGCATATGGCATGATACTCACTTTCTCTATATCCACATCTTCTACCCGTCCAACGTCTAACGCCAAATGGCACACGACACAAAACCTCAAGTCTACACCACACCTTTGGTAGCTGTCTTTGAGATGAGTCTAGCTTTTTCGATCTGAGCTTGACCTGAAAGTCAGTGGAACTTTTCTACAATCACACATGATATCCAATCGGCACTTCCTCATGATAAATGTTATCTGACAAAATATCGTGGATAACAAGCGAGCATTGAATGTAGTGCAATAGAAGCAGCGGGAAAGAAACAGATGATGGGATTATCTCGTTGGAGAATAAAGGAAGCAAAGAAAAAACAAGCAACAATGGACCCACTTCGTTTAGCCAAAGCCTTTTTATAATCCACAATGGTAATATCTTGTTTAGTAAGGTTTATCACTTTTTTATCTTTCACTTCCCATAAATCTTCTGCCACTTGAGAGATCAATCGGAAATCGTGAGAGACGATGACTACTCCTCCTTCGAATTCTTTTATAGCCGCTGCGAGGGAATCGATCGATGCCTAGGGGTTAGTGGTTGTGTGGCTAGAGACTTTATGACTTTCCCCTGGTCGTGGTGGGGTGGGGTGGGGTGGGGGTGGTGGGGTGGAGGGGGGAGGGGCTTGTTGTTGAGAGTCGTAAGGCAGACGAAGAGGATGAACGTTTGGGAAGGGGCAAATGATAAGGAGACGAGGACAGGAAAAATGGAAAAGAAGAAAACATACCATATCCAAATGATTGGTAGGTTCATCAAACAGAATGATATGAGGATGTTCCATAGCCAAAAGAGCGAACACTACTCTATTCAAATCAGTGATTGAAACTTTCATCATGTACACTGTCGAATTCTCGGATGAGTGCGAATACGGAAGATAAACAACTCAGACAAAACCTCAAAGTCCATAGATATAGACTAGGTATCGGCGAGACATCGGGTATTCCCTAATCCTTGAATCGCAAGGGTTCCTTCCATCATGACGAGTGAAGCTGGAAAGGAACGAAAAGACCAAATGTGAGATTGTGACATGAGACTGGAACAGCGTGAGGTAGATAAGGTGGGAAGTAATAGCTGAAGAGATACAATGAAAGACAGATAGTACAGGAGAATCCTCAAGAGCGAGAAAGATTGAGTAATGAACAGAAAGGAAAAAAGACGTAGAAGGGGAGACGTAAAAACACCAGACTAACCGATTCCTCAATCCATCAGACAGTTGATTAATAGGATTCGTCTGATGTGCACCAGTAATACCAAACCTTCCAATTTGTTGTCTCCAAAATTGAATATCCTTCTCTGGGAATTTCTGAGAATATAAAGAGGCGATATGATCAACTGGGGATTTATCATATGGTAATTGATCTGCTGAATGTTGAGAATATTTCGCTAATTTCAATTGAGTGTGTCGGGATATTGTACCTTCTGTGGGGGACAGATTTCCCGTTATGAGGTTTAAAAGTGTTGATTTACCGGTTCCGTTATCTCCTACGATGGCGATTCTGATGAGTGAGTTTTGACAGCTAAACTTGGGTGTAGTGGTAATGGTTTAGTGATTCAGGTAACGGTTGAGAGATTAAGGTGGTGGTTTAGAGGTTAAGGTAATGGTGTGAGTATTGGATAGCTGATTATTCCTGCGTTGGCATGAAGGAGAGAGGAAGATTAGATGAGCGGGAGAGGGAGAAAAGGTATGTGAACATGTCAGGTCGAGTTAAAGAGATGCTATAGACTATCGAAAAGATTGAAAAAGAGACATCACCAGTGGATTCAAGGATAAGACGTGTGATGGTTGAGAGATAGAGAAGGGAAAGCAGAGGGTGGAGTAGAAGAGGAAGGGGAGGAAAGGAGAAGGGAAGAGAATAACTTGCACTAACCTCGAATCCATATCAATACCAAAACTCAAATCCTTGTACAAATAATCTTCCTTCTTACCAGAATACGAAAATGCTACATCTGAAAACGCGATGATGGGAGGAGGAAGTTTCCTGACGTCTTCAAAGTTGAATCTCAACAATCTGGCTTGTTCGACTTTCTCAACTAACCCGGCAGCTTCCATCTTGTCGATGATCTTTTGTTTAGATTTGGCTTGTTTGACCAAATTGGCATATGTACCGGCGGAAGCGATGAATTCTGGGGTGTGAGCAAGATATGATATGTATACTTGGTACCATATCTGACCTGGGATCGTTGATGGATCCAAAGAAATTAAAAGTCTCAAGGGGGTCAAGGGAGATGGGAAGTAAAAACGAAAGCCGCAGGGAGGGAGGGGAGAGGACGGGAAGGGGAAGAAGGGAAGGGATAGGGAAAAACATCCCACTACTCACTCTTGATATGCGCAATCTCTTCCTGTGTTCGCATAAGCTTTCATTGATCACTTCATTTTCACTCTTGGTCCTAACGTATGTAGAATAATTTCCTCCGTAATACACGAGTTTCTTTTTCGTTGTTAGATCCATAATGTTCGTACAGACTGTATCCATAAAGTCGGCTGAGTGGCTGGGGGTGAGTGAAGTCAAACGTGAAAATTATGGCAGATCTTACGATGTGAGGATCTGTCGTAAGTTTCTGTTTAATTTGGATGAAAGTCATTCTTGCCCGAGTCGCCATGGAACTGACAAGAGGGAAGAAAGAAAGAGGAGGAAAGAGGAAAAGGGGGAAAGAGGGAAAAGCGGGAAATAGGGAAAGACGAGGGAGACGAGGGAGACGAGGGAGACGGGGAGAAGAGTGACTCTCCCGAGAGAACCTCCATTTACCAAACCAACCGACCAACTGACAACTTGGAAAGGACACAAACAGGACAGTAATTCCCACAAACATGTGAGGGCAGAAGCATAAAGTACGACTGGGGGGACCGGGAGGGGCGGATTGGACGGACACATGAAAACTCACCAAAATATGATTATAAGTAGCTAAATAAGCTTCCAACCAAACAACAGCACCTAAATCCAAATGACTAGTAGGTTCATCCAACAACAATAAATGAGGTTTAACAAATAAAGCTCTGGCAAGTGCTACACGCATACGCCAACCACCACTCATATCTTTTGTAGGTTTTGCCATCATTGTTTGTGTGAAACCTAATCCTGATAAAATAGCACCCGCTTTAGCTTCAAAAGTCGAAGGATCCATCTCTTCCAATTCTTCGTATATCGCTTCTAGAGCTAATTCATCGACTTCGTCAGCCGTTGACATATCTTCTGCTATTTTCTCTAGACGAGCGACTTTTTCTTTGGCTGAGGCGACTATGTAGTCTAGAGCGTTTGTTTCACCAGGGTCGACGGCTCCTCTGACGAGGTAAATCTGGGGTCAGACATATCTCCTCGGGCTTTTATTTGCCACTCTCCGAACAGGCGGCCCGAGGGAAGCTCGGAAGTTGAATGGACGCTGGAGATCAAGGGGGTCCACAACGGTCTCTGGTGCAGGGATGGAAGGGATGAGAAAGAGGAAATGATGAGATGAAATGAGAGATGATTTAACTCACATCGATATGATCGGGAATCTCTACATCCCTATCTGCCAAAGATTGCAAGAAAGTCGACTATCCGTCATTTCTCACCCAAACCTACTGTAGGTATGATTTAACTCACCTTTCCAGACCCATTCTCACCCAATAGACCATACCTACCATCAGCTCATGCCAGGACGTGCAAGGAGGATATTGAGCTTACCGTTGTCCATAATTGAGAGAAATCTCCGCTCCTTCAATCAACAACCTACCGTGGAAACTGAGGGTGTATTGGTCAATCTTGACATCTCTTCCTTTTGGGTCGGAAACGAGAACACCGTTCTAAGTGTTAGTTCTTCGCAAAATGCACACTGACACTGTCTGTATGGCTAATGATGTGAAGCAGATATCCCGAGATTATTTTACATTACAGGTCGTCTCAAGAGAAACGACGCGGGAAGAATGACGAAGAAGCATGTCCCATATGTAAATCTGCATCAGAGGGGTAACATTCCATGATGGGAAAATTCCAGTCTCTGGTATGATTCCTCGAAAAGTAACCAACTTCACGTATCGAAGAAGGGACTAAGAAAAAAACACCAGGAGACATTAGGAAGCAGAAGCAGAAGTAAAAGTAAAAGTAGAGGAAAGTGAGAAGACAAAACTCACCGCACTCCTATCAGTAGCCAAATTCAACTTTCTCATCTGTTCCTGCGCATCGACCAAATCATCCGTACTCGCATTAGCGCTCAAAGAAGTCAATGGTGTTGATCCTCCAGCGACAGAAGGTACGGTAGAAGATAAAGTTGATCCTGTCTTCTTGTCAGCTGCTTTTGCAGCTTTTTCCGCGAGACGTTTTTGTTTCGATGCAGATGGGGCCATTTTGGGTTAAAGTTGTTTTGAAAGCTTTGTTGATGAGTTTGATACTTTCTACGAGTGGTGAGATGTATTTGTCGTTATTCGTTGTCTTTCTACCTGGTACGCCGTGATGAGCTTTTTCAAGATAAGGATAGAGGGAAGGAAGGAAGAAAGAGACGTAGTGTGTGGGGGTTGGTTGAAGGGATGATGAATGGAAGGATAGAAAAGGGGAAAAAAGTTGAAAGTGAGATTCTTTTTGATTACGTCATCTTAAAAGTCGCCACTCACCGCTCTGCATGTTCCATCGCTACTACTGCTGCTGCTACTACCACATACTGACTGCTGTACATGAGTACATCTACGACAGATAAAATCTAGCATCATCCAGTATTCTCAGTGTACGTCAGCGAGATCTTGATCTTCGGAACAGCAGGTGTATAATCCTAGCAAAGGATTAGTTGAAGGAAGAGAGAAAGTGTGGAATCTGAAGAAATGACCGATTTCCTCATAAGCGACCTCCTAGTAGTCGACCCATCTCCCACAACACCCACCCCCCCTATTCCCCCACAAGATCTATCCCCTATCTTACGTTACCTATCCCTCCCTCCCTCCTCTTCTCTACCTACCGATCCAATCCAATTTCTAACCCAATCCCTACCCATCCTCCCGTACTCTCTCCTTAAACCCATCGCAGCTCTCACCACACCCCGCCAAAGATCCGTCATCCCACTTATCAAATCCCGTCGTCTAGCCTATATCTCCTTATCACCCCTTCCGAAAGATCTCACTGCTAAACGCGGTCGATTGAGATGGCCTTTGTTATGGGAACGAATGGGTGGGGATCCATTAGATTTAGTTGAGGATGAAGAGAGTGATGGGGAAGAAGATTGGGTGGCGGAGAGGTTCTTACCGGGTGAAGAAGGTAGACAACATGTGAAGAAGTTAGGTGGGTTCTTGAGAGGGTTAGATTTGGAAAGAGGGGCTGAAAAGGTTAGAGAAGCTAGAAGGAGGGAGAGGGTTTTGGATATGAAAGGGCAAGAGTTTGAGGAGGTTGAGGATGGAGTTGTACCAGGTATGAGAGAGAGAAACATGGATAGAGAAGAAAGAGGAAGGGAGGAATGGGAAAAGGAAGAAATTGAGAGAAGGTTCGAAAAGAGGTTATCGATCTTGTTTCTTGATGGATATGATGTGAGTATACTACATTCCTTGCCCCCCTTATCCACGATACTTTATGATATGTTATTTATCTCATTCCTGAGTATCCTCTTAAGTCAGCGAAATCGAAGAATGAAGTAGAATCATATATCTACACATTCCTAATCTTAAAATCGTATATAAAAGACATTCAAAAGCATGCGAGATGATAATCAAACATCGAAGTAGGGAAGAAACAAGATAATACCAACGTTGGGATATCTGAGAATCATCATGAACTAATATCAGACAATCGATTACGATCCAATAGATCTTTCAGAACCTCTCGAAGGTGATATACTCTTATATCAAGATGAACAAGAGAATTATTTCGATGATGAAACACCAAGCGGAACACCTCAGGATTCGACTTATGACGATGAAGAACTTAAAACTCCTCGAGATTCCATTCATCAAGATGGTGGAATTGACAAATCACCAAAAGGACCGATTTCCCCAAGATACAAGGATGAGATGTTCTTTAAGACTGGGATAGTTGGAGAGAGGGAAGAAAAGGAAATGGGGTCACAGAATGGACAAGGGGAATATGATTATTGATTCTCCACATCGGGAATCACTGAAGAACATGATCATATGATATTTGGAGAGAAGTCAAAAATGGGGTTTTGTGGTAGCTTGAAGTCAACTTCGGTTCTTCCTTCGGCACGTCGAATCATCGATTCATCCCTACACTTTACACGACTGTCTATCCATAACGTTGTATCCTCATATACCGACGACATCCCATCATAGTGTACAACGAAACGCTTTATCGCCTTTCCTCCTGAGATATTCTTTTTTGGAAGATACCATATCACCCATCTTATGCCCCGACTCTTCGACCGCCCCGACTGATAATATCCAGCAACGACTACTCGTATTGAAGACGAACGAAAACATCTTGTCTATCGATCATGCTATAAGTGAACCGGGATATGGGTCGATTAGGCGGAAGAATAATCAACCACGCCATCCATCAACAAAACCCTCCCATTTGCGGCCTATCATCAATCTTCAACCTTCACCCATTCACTCATCGAAGAAAAACTCACCTCACGAACATCCACCACTGTTATGTTACCCGGTACCACCATCCATCCTTCCGTACTTTGTACCACCTCCACTTCTATACCGGGTAGGAGGGTAGGGAGTCGGTTGGAAGGAAGTGAGATACGACCGGGTATCAAATGCGCAGAGAGGAAACGTTCTATATTGGTTTGGAATGATAAATCCGGGTTGTTGGATTGGTGGCTGGTCGTCAGCTATCAATTCTCATACATTGCTAAGTAAAGGCGACCATGGCAGCGATAGACAACATGACCGGGAGACCGGTGAAAAAAAAGTGTCAAGAGTACAAGGTATGGAGTAATGGTGATAAGTGAAGGATGAAACCGACCATTGAACTCGTCGCGAATTGGTAGATGTGTATAGACGTGACAGACGAGATGAACTGAAGAAGTCGTTGCTAATGACTGAAAGGGAATTACTAGGGTGTACGATGTAAGGATGGATAGTGTGTAACATAGAAAATGAACTGCTTAGTGATCCAAGAAGGAAGAGTTTATAGATGCAATGATACACTCCCTGATATGTATCTCATCCAAGGTTGTGATATTGGTTGCGAGTGAGAAAATGGGACATACGGTTTCATAGGTAGACGCATTATGGCGCTATCTAAAGGTACCAACAAGGTAGTTTCTTTACCTTGACCCATATTGATTAATCGAGCGTTCTTCATTTCAGCATTGTCTTTGCATTCCCAGGTCATCAAACATCTATCTTCCAGAACACCCAGGTCACACGACCCACGAGGCAAGAACCAAAGCTAGAGGTGAAAAGGACTTATTTGGAAGACGAAGAAAAACTCACAACACTCATCACATCCCGTGCGTAATCCCACCATAAACTGGCCCTTCTTTCCACGGTCAAAACATCGGCTAAGGACATTCCTTCATTTTGACCGATTTGAGAATGACCCATCTGAAGTAGAATATCGTCAGAGGGGAAAGAAGGATCTTTGGTCGGTTGGTCGACCATGGGGGAAAGAGGTAGTTGTGTGGCAGTCGTACCAAGTAGCAATAAGGAAGCGAGTAGGAAGAAACGAGTGAGTGACATGATGTCAGTTGTGTGGAGTGATAGAGTAGTACGAGTACTTTGTGGGTGGGAAGGGGTGGCGAACGGGTCGGGGTTCTAGGAATATTTGAAGAAATATAAACTTTTAATTTATCCCATTTTTCACAGAAATCTCGACTGCAACTTGGAGCAGGTAAGTTTTTGACTTTTTTGACATCACATTCCTCTTTCTTAACCTTACACTCTGCCAACAACCCTTCTACCTAGAGAAAAAGGAGTATAGAGCAGCGTACAAGCATCAAAGATTTGTAAGAATAAGATACACCGTTCAGAAAACAGAGTAGATGTTGTGGACTCAACGGACTTCTGACGAGTGAGTCGATTTTCCTCATTCTGATCCATCTCTCCTGCACGCGATTTCTACTCACTCGACTGGTGAAACATCATATCGTTGAGTCATACCACATGATTATGAGATATATGACACAGATGAAGGATTACCGCTTTCTCACATAACACGCTAACCTACAGCTACCTCTCCGACCGAGTTTTCACCCTGTCGAATCATTAATTCCTTGACCCTTCTCTCCCTAATCACTCAACTACCAACACCACTCAGATCTATCACAGTCACTCTCACTGTACCTTCATATCTGCAACCTTACGAGAGTTGATACCGAGCCTTTACAAGATGCTTATCCCGCTCAGCAAGCACGCCATCCGTGCTCGAGGAATTCAAGGGCATTTCAAATCGCTTGGATTGATCGGCAAACGAGGGATCACCTCCACCGATCCCAAATCAGCAATCCCCTTGTCAAACAAAGAAACGGCCCTTCTCACTCCAATACTTCCCCCCAAGATCCCGGCTGTGTTACATCTCAAAACCGGTCAGAGCTATGCCGGCCATAATTTCGGAGGAACGAATAGCAAGTTTGGTGAAACTGTTTTTAGTACCAGTATCACTAGTTGTGGGTATCTGTCCTTATCACAATTCTTTCTACTCCCTGTATTTCCCAAGGATGGCGGAAACTAATGCCAGACACCGATTCCATGACGGACCCTTCTTACCTCGGTCAAATCCTTGTCTTCACTTCCCCCATGATCGGCAACTACGGAGTTCCCTCAAACTCATCTACCGCTTTTCCAGGTCTACCATTCCTAGAATCTGACAAGATACAATGTACCGGTGTAGTAGTATCTGACGTTGCACTCAAATACTCTCATTATCAAGCCGTGGAAAGTTTACACGAATGGTGTGCAAGATACGATATCCCAGGTATCACCGGTGTCGATACCCGAGCTATCACATCTCTTCTTCGAGATCAAGGGACAACTCTAGGTCAATTAGCAATAGGAGATGATACTTTAAAACCACCACCTTCAACAGAAGAATATTGGGATCCATCAAAAGAAAATTTAATCGCACTAGTTTCCACACCTAAACCTTACACATTGAACATTAATGGTAAAGGTCCCAAAATCGCAGTTTTAGATTTCGGTTCAAAAGCTAATATCCTTCGTTCTTTAGTTAAACGTGATGCTGTGGTCACTGTCCTTCCATGGGATTACGATTTCAATTCTGTTCGGGATTCTTTCGATGGTTTGTTTTTAAGTAATGGACCAGGTGATCCTAAGATGATCATGGATACAGCAGCTAGGGTAAGGAAGACTATCGATGAGTGGGATAAACCTATTTTCGGGATTTGTATGGGACATCAGATTTTAGGTTTGGCGGCTGGGATGGAAGCTTATAGAATGACATTTGGTAATAGGGGACATAATCAACCTGTTTTGGCTTTGGCAAGTTCGGGTAGTATCAAAGCTGGAAGGGTGTATGTGACTGTGAGTGTCTCATCTGCTTCACGAGTCCCTAAACGAGGACTGGGTCAATCAACTTCAGAGGACTGGTCATCACTTCTTCATTCTGGCCTATGTATTGTATCCGAGGACGGAGGCGGTCTATGACATTGAAATATCTCGATGGCCCGTATTGGACGATTGATCGTTTGAACAAGGAAGAAATTGCTGACGTCCAGTCACAAAACCATCAATATGCTCTGAAACTTACCGAAGATTTCCCAGACGGTTGGGCACCTTTCTTCATCAACTGTAACGATTCAAGTGTGGAAGGTATCATCTCAACTCCAGAATCCGGGAAGAGGATCTGGGGAGTTCAATTCCATCCTGAATCGGCGGGTGGACCATTGGATACCATCGAAGTAAGTAGCTCTTACCCCAACGTCATGGGAATGATATCCTTCCTTCTTATTCTCTCATCCCAACGTAGTCACACAACGTACGACGTAAGAGAAGGTGTCAACCGAGGTCGAAGTATACAAATGACATATCAAAACTTGGTTCTCAGTTGACTCACAGATGTTTACAGATTTCGTCAATGAATGTCAAGGCGGAAAAGCAGCGTCGAAACATACCATGATCCCCGGTCAAGTCATGGGAGGGGCCGAGACCGTTGCCGTGGTCGGAGGGAAGGTTTGAGGACATGACGATGTTGGCTTTGTACTGCTTCGAGGAGATGATAGAGGATACGTGGTGAGATCGTTTTTCATGACGTAATATTCTCATGCACCACGATATCCTCTCATCTACCCTCTCCTTTCTCGTAACCAAGGCGATGAACGGGCTTCCATGTCTGACTTTCACGCCATATTTCTTGACCCAACTAACACGATTGGCCCCACCCCGTCTCCAATCGAAACCATTGCTACATACAGCCACCACTTTCACTACTTACAATCACGAATCACACCCAGTGCATACAATGGATGATGTCGATAACCACTCGGAACCAACACCCGCCGCGGGCCATGATAGCGACCCATCGGAGGGTATGGTGACATCTACCAAACTTATGGAGTCAGCCTTGCCTCAGCGTGCTCGTCAAATACTAGACCTGGATCCAATGACAGACTTTTCTAAAATCATACGTATTCTGACTCCGGAGCGGTACGCGCATGAGCTATGGGAGGCAGCTGCTCGTTTGGACATTGCTAATCACAACCATGCTGATTCCGACTTGGGCATTGCTGATCCCAACCATGCTGATTCCGACATTGGATTCCGCGAGCTTGTTAACAACCCAATATATAATAGATTGACTGCTCAGTTCAACAAAATGGACTTACCTCTTGACTTGGTGGAGTCACATCAGGATGGAAACCTTCATGGGGTAAAGATTGAAAAGGATAGATGTACCACTGCCCAACGATATTTGGGGGAGTACACAGAAGGCAGCTATCAATATAAGTACGTGTTTGAGGAAAGAGGCACCAGACTTTGGGTTTATGATGGCAAAGGCACAGGCATATACTACAGGTCAACAAAACTTTACTATGAGACACGCAACTTCAAAATACTGCCGGACTATACAGTAAAGCAAGATGTTCACCACTATCAGAAAGGTTGCTACTTCTCTCCAGAACCTGGAACATGGTATCGTTACTCACATGATAAATCCAGTCATGTTCCCTGTTCGGTCGATCCTGTCCAGCTCAGTCCGCTCACTGTCAGTGATGCAGAAAATCTTGAGATGAGAGATGGTTCCATCTATTATGATCGAGACATTGTGCACAATATTGATTATAAAACTGTCTTCTGCAAGATTCATCTGTCAACAGAAACATGTGAGCTCTGTCAATATACTGGTGGGGAGAGAGATGAGAGCAGGGTTCAATTGAAGGAGAAATCTGTGTCAGGTGATTCACACAGGACATCACACTTGTTCAGGGGCCCTGATGGTGTTGTGCACTCAGCTTCCTAAGTGCTGCACTCATCTCTTCTTCTCTCCTTATGTCATGAATGACACTATCAAATAAAGACTTGTCATAATCACAAGTTCAAACCTCCACTCTCATATCTTCCTCTGCTCTCAAGCGTATTGGGCGTAAACTCCAAGTCTACCTTTCCTCTGCTCTCAAGACTGTCAGGCATCAACCCCAAGGCTATCTTTCCTGTGCTCTCATGCCTGACAGGCATAAGCCCCAAGTACTTCTCTAGTTTCTCTTTCCTCTGTTCTGATGCCTTGTAAGGCATAATCTCTCAGTCTCTTGTTCTCGCAGCTCTTACATGTTCTGCATACTTCCTCTTCGACCACCTTCGACAAAGTCACCAAATTCCGGCGCATCACGTAGGATATCATAGTAGGACATATGTCACGCCTGCGGGTAGACTGCGGTTGCAAAGTACTGCCTTGGGTACTGAAGGGTTTTAGTCTCTGGCTCGTAGAGCTTGATGACTGCCTTAGGTACTGAGGGTACTGAGGTGTTGGGTTAGAACCAACTAGGTAACTTTCAAAGATGAAGTTCAACTTCAAGATAAAGATACATTGCTGAAGAAAGAGGGGGGAGATGTGCTCCTTTTATACCCTTCAAACTGACTAAACTGCTAAACTATAATTTGCAATCTGACTAAACTGATAAACTAGTATTTGCAATCCCTAAGTCCTATTGGCAATCCTTGAGTCCTTATTTGCAATCCTTGGTTGGGGATTTGCAATACTGCCATTGTGATTTGCAATGCTGAATAAGCATGCACTATAATTACTACTTCAGGAAGGTGGAGGCATGTGAGGATTTGCAATGCTGATTAAGCATGCACTATAATTACTACTTCAGGAAGGTGGAGACATGTGGAGGCATGTGGTGATTTGCAATGCTGATTAAGCATTCACTCCAATTACTACTTTGGGAAGGTGGAGGCATGTGGAGGTTGTGCCTGAGTGATAACAAAACCCACATCATGCATCTTGCATGTGTTCAACTGTGGCAGTGTGGCAGAGCCACTCTGGGTTCATGACAACATAGGTAAACGCAGATATGGCATCGTAGGATAGCAGTGGTAATCGGTGGGATGCATGGCAATGCATGCAGGACAGTGCAGGACGGTTCAGAGTGCTCATATTCCGCAGGTCTGCATGAGCCTCTTGGAAAAGGCTGATTTTAGTATTTAAACCCTATCTAGTGCTGTAGTTTTCTTCTTCAGCAATGTATCTTTTCAATTCCCTTCCCCTCGTTTGATAAGTCACTCAGTTGGTTCTAACCCAACCTCTCAAACCCTCAGTATCCAAGGCAGTCACCAAGGTCCACGAGCCAGAGACTAAACCCCTCAGTTCCCAAGGCAGTCCTTTGCTACCGCAGTCTACCCGCAGGCGTGACACCTTAACACTAATGTTAGACAAATTGTCGCGCCTACGGGTAGCCTGCGGTCGCAAAGTACTGCCTTCAGTACTGAAGGGTTTTAGTCTCTAACTTGTAGAGCTTGATGACTGCCTTAGGTACTGAGGGTACTGAGGTGTTGGGTTAGAACCAACTAGGTGACTTTCTGTTATGACACTGCCCGTATCATAACCTCAGGAACATCCTATCAGTACGGCACGGTTTACTCCGTACAACATGGTTTGATCCGTACAACACGGTTGACTCCTTACAGCACGGTTGACTCTGTATAACACGGTTAAGCCATGCATTACGGTTCACTCTGTGACTATGGGTTGGCTGAGGCATTTATGTGATTGGTCAGATATTCTTTCTCAAGGTGCTACCAGCTAGAAAGTGCTGTCTATATAAAACCCCTTCACAAGGGCTCTTTCTTTGTCGATGAATTCTCATAAGTTACTCTAATACACTTTGCCACCCACTTCACATATCCCATGTCACCAGACCAACTAACCAGCATTGGTGACAATATAACAGTGCCCCCACTGTGCTGAAAGGCTTATTAACCGGTGGTTACTGCAAAAGGCTGATTGCTGGTTAAATACCCAACCCAAAGACAACTCTAACCAAAGTGACTGTCACAAACTACCTCGTGACACCTCAAATATCCCACCATCAACAACCCTCCTTTCTCCATCAAAACCCCCATCACACCTCAATCTCTTCACCTTTTGCGTAAGTTAGGACATCTGCTGAGACCAACTACGGCAAAGTACAGCGGGAGTATAAGGTGTACGGGCATCAGGGTCAGACAGAAGTACGGCAAAGTTAGTCGGGCTTTGTAGTGAACCTGGCTGTCCCCTACATGAGGAGTAGTCCATAGTTCCCTTCCTCTCCCTTCTCCTTATCACCCATCTGAAACTTATTGTAGTTCCTCCCTAGCAAGAATCCTATTCCTCCTATTCTCTTTTCGTAGACAAGTTGTCCTTCTTCTTAGAGGACTCCTAAACCGTAATAATCCCCGTACCGTAAAATATGGCGTAGCTGTTCCGTACTACGGGACCCCAATCATGTATATAAGCTGGGTCTGAGGGGGATCTCTTTCTCCATTGTCTTTCTTCTCCCATCCTCTTTCTTCATTGTCTTTCTTCTCACTTCTTCTTCTCCCTCTGTCATGAATGACACTATCAAATAATGACTTGTCATAATCACAAGTTCAAACCTTGTCACGAACTACGTCGTGACACCTCGATTACTCCACCAACAATGACCCTCCTTTGGCCATCAAAACCCCATCACGCCTTAACCTCTTTACTCTACACGTAACTCAGGACTTCTGACACCAAGTACGGCGAAGTTAGACGGGGTTAGGCTAAGTAGGGACAATGGGAGCAGAAGTACGGCGATGTTAGGCGGGGTTAGGCTAAGTAGGGACAATGGGAGCAGAAGTGCGGCGATGTTAGGCGGAGTTAGGCTAAGTAGGGACAATGGAAGCAGAAGTGCGGCGATGTTAGGCGGAGTTAGTCGAAGGAGGAAGAGGATGGCCGAGGGCTCGGGGAAGTTGGACGAAGTGCGTTGAAGTACGTCAAAGCGCGAGAGGGTTGGATGAACGTCTAGGAGGAGTAGATAATATTAGCTGAGAAGATCGCTGAAGTTCTTCAGCGATCCTTGATTGTTGTCAGTAGTAAAAGACAGATAGAGATAGCTATAAATCAAGATACATCGCCATCAGTAGATCAAAACCCTAGTTAGAGTAACTACGCCGAAGTACGCCGTAGTTACACCCCTTTCGACGTCTGCGCCCTCCTGGTTGGGTGAGACATCGACTCAGAGCGTGAAGTTAGCCGAGGTTCGTCGACCGTCGGTCTATTAAGAAGTAGTTGTTCGACGGCCGTGACAGTATCAAGGATCGCTCTTACCGACGACCCGTGCGAACCTCGGAGAAGTACGAAGATAATATGGAACCAGAAAGAAGAATTACACGAGGCATGAGTAGGGATGGAGACAGGATGGAGGAGAACGAGAGGAGAGCATTGGAGGAGCTTAGCAGAGCAATGGGGCAGGACCTTGGAGTTGAGGATAGTGTGGGGGGGTCAATTCAAGGAGATGAGTTCGTTCCACCGGTGCTTTCTAACCCTCCTTCTCCTCCGTCTAATGCTCTCCCACCTGTGGGATCCCCACTTGGATCAGACCAAACCCCACGCCCAAGAGAAAACACTGGAAGTACGGCGAACTTGGGAGAAGAAGGAACACAAGGGGTGGTGTTGGCCTTGATGCAGATGGTGGCGAATATGAACAAAGACATGATGGAGGAGAGAAGACGTA